TTGGTTTGGAGGACACTCTCGCAACTACACGGTAGAGGAGTTTGAGGCTGGCTTCACGGAGACGCTTGCCTTGCAGCAATGCGTCACCATGCAGAACAGAGGCTCGCCAGGCGAAGGCATCTGTATCATCAAACTTGAAGCCGGCAACCGCTGCACCTCACTTGAAATGATGGCGCTCATGGACACGAAACCGAAGGACACACTGTCCAGGGTGACCATTAGTTTGGAGGGCACGCTCGCATACTACATGTTAAACGAGTTTGCGGCTGGCCTGAGGTGGAAAGCTGCCAATTACAGCCTTCACCCGTCATGATTCGTCTACGGGCCTGGAGGCATGCGGCTGGCTTCCATTGGAAAGCTGGCAATTGCTGCAAGTCTTACCGAGGGGTTATGCACTGACGACTGGTCTTCGATCTGTGGCGGTGCCTCCGATTTCCTGACTTAGCAGTTCTGGGAAAGTGAGTGATGCAAGTGTCACTAAGTAGCACTGCCGTTTTTTATCGCAGTTGCTCCGATGTCCCGATATCACCTCAATGAGGGTGTTTTGACATCCTGGGTATATGGTTACTTTGCGGGGATAGCCTCATCTGATACCCGTGAGGAAGATCCCGCTTCTTAGGTCCGAAATCAGGATCGTTACTTGGGTTGCCAAGTATGGAATACCACGCATCCTTTACAACTCGCATGCGGTGTCCAGAGTCTTGAAGTTCATTTTGTTGAAGGGCTGGGACAGCTTTTCCGACTGCTGGTTACATCCCACCCCTATTGGTGAGCGCATACTACGTCTGTAGATTTCTGCGCCACCTGTTCTTTGAATTCAGTACAGTGCAATAGGCGCGACCTACGGTCTCCAAGCCTGCGGAATGAAATGTACGTGTATGGATGCACGTGTATGTATGCGTGTGTAAGTATGTATGTATGTACGTACATACGTATGTATATGTGTGTGTGCACATGTATCTGCATGTGCAAGTGCATGTGTATGCGTATGTGTACGTGAATGTACAAGTATATACAGTATACTATGCTCCGTGTGCGTATATGAGTATAATATAGGTAAGCTGGCAGGAGTGCTTGCGTGGGAGATGCGTCGCTGATACTCAGAATGCACACCGAGCTCGGACAAGAAGCAGGTCAAAACAAACGAAATGACTCAGGTAATCATCTAGGTACCTGAACCTACAAATAGGTTGGTCTGGGGTGCAGGCCAACACCAGGCTCGGCTCAACAGAACAGAAGTCTTGATCCCAGAAATGCTGCACAAGATTGCCTGAAGCGACCGAATCGGATGCATTGGCGGAGACATTCCGAGGATTTAGATGTGCCACAGCTTGCACCATCCAAGTATATCATTGGAGCCCTAATCTGTTCGCCTCGTGAGTCCTGATCTCTCTTCCTGACGTTCGATAGACAGCTTCCTTTTTCTCTTCGTGCTAAAGTCTTAATCGATAGATGCTCTTTGGAGCTGTGTACATGGAGATCCGATGCCAATGTCTACTATTCTTCGGACCCACCCGCGTCTGCCGAGGTTTGACTCGCACAGCGAGCAAATGACGGCATTCAGCAACTTACTAATTACCAATTATTGGGGTTCCTCTATTCTGATTATGGGATAATGGGCGTCTCTGGCATCGGATGCTCTGCGCAGTCAGAGAGTCACTGCGCGCGTGGCTTCGCCGCGGTCGCCAACCCTGGCTGCTTTGGCCTGCCACGGGGGTCAGCAGGACATGCTTGCGTCGCCCAGCATGCATTCTCGTTTTGGAAGACCCAGATAGCAGAAAGTCTGCTGCGGAAGGCCGAAGAAGCACTGCAAGATCCCTGCTTGATCGCCGGTAACCCTAAGTCCCAAACTCCCGATCCCCAGTGGACTCTCCCCAAGCTGCAGCTGTGGCACCGGTGGCGTCTTCAAGGCGGCGATTGTAGCATGCTGTGGATGAGAGGGCTCAATGTCAGCAAACAGACCTGGACTCAACCGTTTAAGACTCAGACATCTTTCCAAACGCCGCATGAACTGCGGCAGCCGTGCTCGGAGCAAGCATGGAGATTCAGCGCAGGCCTGGCGTTTTCCAGAAGGCTCCCCCGGCTGGTGCTTTTTGTCTTGCCTCTCGCCAAAGCATCTGGCGAGCCAACTCAAAGGGCCAACTTGAAGTGAAGTGCCCTAAACCCTTGCATTTCGGTGGGCGCCTTTTGCGAAGAGTGGCTCGCCTCGCCTTGGAACATCTCCGCGCAGGTTGCAGGACGATCACACCATTCGAAGTCCACGTGAGCTTTCGCCGTGATCTGCCAGGACGCGTCGGCAAAGGGCGAGTGTGGGACGCAGTGCAGCGATGAACCTGGGAAGATCTGCCGCGAGAAAGGCGCAGTTCGAGTCTAAGAAAGCAGGACTGCGTCGAGGCACGCCGGCCATGGCTTTCGGTCGTCCTGCACTCGGAATTGAAAGTAGCGAGTTAAGGATGCGCATCTGTTTGCTTCGGTGCCGCATCTGTTCCACGCTGCATGGAATAGTCTCGTTCCTTCCTTCCGTTGGGTCAAGGTCCGGGTGAGTCGGACCCGTGCCGAGGCACCCTTCCCTGTCTGGTTAGGGAGCCCCCTCCGTCTCTCCTTCTCTCTCGATCCCTGCGGCCCTGGGTGGGCAAAGACACCCGCCCGGCACGCAGACGCAGAGTGGAGTCCTATCGCATTTCTCTTCAAAGGCTGCAGGACGGAACTCAGCACTCCCTCCCCTTTTCCTCTCAGCCCAATTTCCGCAGGTCTACCCTGCCGTGGGCATTGCTCTCTCCTCGTTGCAACAGGGGGCTGTCGAGATTGTGCTCCCCAGATGTCCTCGATCAGCTGCTTCCGCAGTGTCTGCCATTTCTGCCTCGAAGCCGACTCCGAAGTCGTCAATTGGCTACCAGGCGGTGAGCGAAGCAGGACTGCCTCCAGCCGGCTTAGACGTGGGTAGGGAGTTCAACAGTCGAGCACTCTGAGGAGCTGAAACTCGCAGCAATAGTCCGTCATCTGCAGTCTTCGTCGAGCAGGCATTGACACTACGAGAAATGGAGATGAGTGCTTTCAGTGTAGCTTGCAGCACGCCTACCACTCGCTGCACCGAAGCTTCCAGCAAGGCCTCCCCCGCCCAAACTGCTCGCTGCAGCCATTCGCCTTGTCGCAACTTAAAAGGGGCCAGCGAGCAAAGGCACGTTTCTGGACAAGTCGCACTTCTGAGTGACGTTTCGCATGGAAAAGTTAAAAGCAGGCAAGTCCAGATGAACACTTACTGACACGCACCAGCCACCCAAAACCCTGAGCCCAAAGCCCTAAGCCCAAACCCCTTAAACGCAGCGCACGGCCCGCCCACCGACTATGCCATACAAGATCGGATTCCAGCTGGATTGTCTGGGGGCCTCGCATTCGACACGACCTTCTGGCAAGATACTGTCGCCTCCAGGCCTACACACTGTAATAAAATGATAACTTCGCCCCTTATATTAAAATTTAAATTTTGTTAAACCCGTGTCTAGCCTCCGCCGTCCACGGAATCGCCGTCGAGCACCCGCGACAGCGCCTCCAGTGCCTCCCCAGCCTCCCCGCCTCAGGTGAGAAGCGCAAGGCTCCAGCTTTATACTGTTAGTGTCAAGCGAAGATTTGTGTGTGTCTATATGGTTGTATAGGGTGCTACAAGCTTTTACAGGGTTAAAAGCTGTCAATGCACAGCGCATGCACAAGCGTTTACAACCAAGGTGACAGCTCAGGCCTGGCTTAATGCTGAATGGCGATGCTCAGGTGGACTGCTAGTCGTTCTGCATTGTATCCTGCAGCTCGTTTGGATTAGGGCGTTATGTCACTTCCCAGAGGAGTGATGTTGCCTGAGGACCCGACACTGACAAGATGCAGCACATGCTTCCCGCCGGACTGCTCGACTCCATAGAAAGCCTCCTCTCGGAGCTTCTGCAAAGGCCTGTGAGCGGTGCATCTTCTTCGGTCAGGAACAAACCCGACCTCCTGCTGTGGTGCTAACAACTGAGAACATCGAGAAGCGCTTCTTCTTCTCAAGGGGTCTAGGTATCCAAACTCGTTTCATCGTGTTAAGGAGGGGAGCTTGGTCCTGTATTGGGGCAGCTGCTGTCCCCCGAATCGAACATTCAACCGCAGAGCATATGAGAAACCATAGCCCAACCCTTCCCAGCTCCCAAGAAACCTAATAACCTCCACCCTGCACCTCCAGGTAGCTCGGCGCCGGGCCCAGGACACCCCAAGCCTCACCGCAGCACGCAGAGCTCTGCAAATCTCTGCAAGGCTCCAAATCTCTGGCTTTGTCCTACGATGCGATGCGCCTTCGCATAGGCCTCCCGCAGGGGACTTGGCCCTTTGTTGCTGGGCACCTCGACCAGGAAGTCATCCCAGCGTTGAGCGGCTTCAGCCTGAACTTTTGGTGGGTCGCGGCTTTGGTCTCTAGTAACTAGTATGTTAGCGAACGAACGACCGACCGAACAAGCGAACAAGTGAGTGAGTGGGTGAAGTGGCAGTGGAAGTGAGTGAGAGTGAGAGTGAGCGAGAGCGAGAGAACAAGTGAGTGACTGACTGAGGGAGGCAGTGAGAAGGAGTGAGTGAGAGAGCGAGGGAGTGAGCGAGCGAACGAACGAACGAAGGGCACACCTCTGCGTGGGTTTTGAAGGGCGACCTAATTTCCTTGCCTTATTAACTCTGATTGGTCGACGATGCTTTTGCTTATGAAAACTCAGATATGATTTGTCTCTCGTCTCTCGGGCTGAAATGGCTTTCTGCTTCGCTTGCAGGTGGAAGCCTGGATTCACCAAGCAACCCTCCACTGAGATTTGGGAAAGGCTTCTGAAGCCCTCGGAGCCTGGCCACGAACGCAGAGGGCCAGCAAAATGCGGATGGTGGCGGCGGCCAAATGATGTCCTTCCGAGGGAAGGGCCTTGGCAGACAAGGCTGTGAGGCCAACTTGAACAAGCAGTGCCCGCAAAAATCCCTCTAAGTTTTTTCCTTCCAGCAGACCCGTAATCGCAGCCCTGGCTGGACCCTCCTCATTCAGTGGATTTGGCAAACGGTTGCAATGATTGTTCCTTTGTAAGTCCGGGCACCGATTCCAGTTGCAGGCGTTTGGCAATCGCGCCCGACACGTCGGATCGGGAATTGTGCGGAACATCGCGTTGGATCTCCAGGCTGGCGATGCTCAGCGGGTCCTGAGGGAGCTGTCAAGTAGCTTGTAAATGAAAAACCATACCAGCCGGGCCAAGATCGCAAACGACAACGACGAAAGCTTAGTTGGACTCGTGGCACGGGACTGAGGTACCCGTTCGCAACCGGCAATACGACTACGGAAAATGCTGAACCTGCTGGAGCTCCTCTCGAGATGACTCGTAGCAAAGCTCCAAAGGAAGGCAGTGCCGCCATCTTAGCTATAGAAGCGAGTCGATGCGTTTAGCAATGCTGTGTATCTGAGGCTGTCGTACAAAGCTGGGCCCGACTACATGAATTACGTAACACGACACGCTCGTCAGCGGCCGAAGGGCAGTTCAAGAGTGCGGAAGGCGCGGCCTTGAAGGCACCTGCAAGATCATTTCTAACAAATCGAGCTACCGATGTGTTGCCGGCAAGAAGAGGAGGCGGGCATAGCAGCAGCCATGAGAGCCACCGGAGACCACCAGGAGACCACCAGGACCAAAATCCTGCTCCCCATGTACTGGCCGGATTCAGCGTTCGGCCTTGTCTGGGTGAGTTTCGAGACGTTCCGACTTGCGACAATGCTTCTCTTGTGAATTGCGCCAAACTCTTTACTCTCAATGTCTAAGAACCGATAGAGTGCCACAACATTTGGTGAAAACGAGACGAAGACTGGAGCGGACACTCGTGGAACACAACAAATGACGACGTCGATGATTTGTGATTGACAATATCTTCGTAGCGTAATGTAGGACGTACGACCTTGGAATGCAACGAAGGTCCTGGGTTTGCGCCGTTAGGTCCATGAGTGAAGTGAACCACAGAAACCATAATGTAGTAAGATGTAGTAGGATAGCAAAAAACTGCGGTATCAGGCCTCGCCACCTGCATCCGTACACGGGCCACCCCTGCAAAAGCAGTATCGCCCTCTGCCCGACATTTAAAGTCCCTGCTGCTCTGCATGGGCTCAATCCAGGCTCAAGGATCCAGACCCATATGCTTTCTGCAACATGGATGGCTATGAACGTGTAGGGGGGCCATAAGAATGGTTGCTATGGTTGCCTACTCCGCAGGCAACTTCTTTCCTGCTGCGGGCCCTAACTTTTGTGTCCTCGCTGTCTCGCCGTCACGCAGCTGCAACCCTGAACCCGAAGCTGCGCAGGTGCGACATGGTGCGACCTGTGTCGGCTTGCCACGCGGCCCTGCTGCTTTTGAAGAACTCATGGAGTGGCCTGCAAATCAAGGCTTAGACTTAGCTGGCTGAAGGAAGTCATGGGCAGGGGCAGGGGCTCGGCACTTTTGGAGATTTCTTGCTCACATACTTGCTTTCTAAGACTGCTGCAGCGCCTGAAGAGCGAACTGCGAAGCGCACTTCCCTTCTGCAACTTCAAGGCCCATCGGCACAGCGTCAGCGCACACTCCACGCCTGAGCTCAAAGCTGGACCGCAATGGGTTTCTTATGGTCTAGCAGCTTTCGAAGTAGACGAGCTTGCCTGAGGGCAGTGCAGGTAATCTCATGCCAGCCCTCATCCTTCAAAGGGATCGACAAGGCCTCACACACACACAGAAGAGCTCTCGAGTCACAGCAGTCAGGCAGATGTCAGTGGCATCTTCATGGAGGTGGGCATCACGACATCGCCTGCAAGAGAGTTGACATTGCTGCGCCAGTTGGGAGCTGGCCAGCTTCCAGCATATCTCCGATTGCCTGCGACTCTGAGACACGTCTGTCTGCTCAGTAGTGCTCCGAAACTCGTGTGAAAGCAGCCCTGCCTTGGCTGCATCTGCCTCGGCAGCCGGGGCCGAGGAGTTTCGCAGCATGCCTGACTTCTGATATTTGACCAGGAAGGTTTTAACGGTGTCTGCTGGGTCTGATGTCTGCCCGCACTTAGTCACACTGCCTTCCCAGAAGTCCAACGGCTGGGCGATCTCAAGCCGCACGAGGGGCCACTGCATCCTCTGGGGCCCCACGACCAAGAAAGCAAGGCCGGGAGGCAGCTCAGCCTCCTTCGCCGGGACAAGGCGATCGATCTCTACACGGAAGAAGTGAAGAGCTCGCATGTCAACGTGCATGTCTTTCCTTCAGTCAACCTGTCTGCCTGTGTATGTCTCCTGCTGTCTCCGTCTGTCTCTGCACGTCAACTTGTTCTATGATTGGGTAATCGAGGTCAAAGCTGTGCGGATAGTCCTGGCGCCCCAGCGCCGGTTGGTCCACGCCGGGCGGCAGCAGGGAGGTTGTGCGAACTGCAAGCATGGAGGCGCAAGGGTGGGAAACGGGCCTACATGGCAACATGTCGTGGTGCCATGAGACGCAGATGAGGCCTGCCGAGGCCCCTCCGCGCCTTCATCCGCACTGGTCAGCTCGATCTCGACCCGTCCGGGAGTTTGGGAGCCCTTTCCATAGATATCCAGCACCAGCGTTCCCGTCCAGTACTTGAAGGGCACCTCAGATGAAGAACTGTTGATCTCCTCCATGCCATGCCGGCGGGATGAGGGAACCGCAGGCTGAGTTTTCAGCAAGGGGCCTTCTGAGCCTCCCGTGGGTCGACGCTGGTCACCTAGAGCAAACGCGGAAGGCATCGCCCCCTTTGCGAGCCAGCGGCTGGAAATCAAGGACAATGTCGCCACACTCTACGACAGGCGCCGTTCAGCAGTATGCAAGATGTTCAGCAGCTAGTTTCAACTCTGTCAACTGCCACCAAAGAGTCACGAAGGGAGCAGTTTGGATCAGAACAGCTACCAGCTATATCACGATGGTTCCGCCCACCTGGGCCGCAGCAGCTGTAGAAGCATGGCCAAGATAGCCAAAGCCCACTCCCGTCTTGCCGGCCCGTCTCGTGAGGTGGCCTTCCAGGCAAAGGAAGACTTGCAAAGATGCTCACAGGACAGACGCTGGCGCAGCCCTTGCATGCTACTGCGGCAGTCGAAAGCACAGTCTACAGCGTTCATTTGTCTGAGGCCCTAGCTGAGCGCCGGTGGCTTCTGGAGCGGTGTTGGCTCCAGAGGTAGCTGTGATGCTGACAGCTCCAGCCGATGGAGTGCCTAAGCGTTTCAGGGTAAAGGTTAGGATGTGGTTTTGCGCCGGCAACGGAAGCAGATTCAGCAAAAGACGGGAGCACCTGGTTGTAGAACCAGCCCACACGGACGACAGGACAGCCCAGCCCGTAGATCCACTGCGAAGTGAAGTCCTGCGGCAGATTGCCAGGCCGATGGTACAAACACATGAAGCTTCACAGGTGGACGCAAGAACGGTCTGAGCTGGAGTTGATACTCTGGAGCTGACGGCCGACCCATTGGCTCGAAGCGTTCTATTCAACCCAAGGTCTGCAGACTGCAGCCCAGATCCTCACAGTGAGGGGAGAACAAAACCTGACGTCCTGATTCACGCTCCCAACCAGCTCGAGGAATTGCGTGGTGGTCAGGCATCGCATGGCTGCTTTCTCCCAGATGGCAGCCAGCCTGCTGTGGAAGTTGCCCCAGTCCAGCCTCCTTCGACAAGGCACGAGGCGGGGGATCTCAGCTCTCTTGGCTCGAGCCCCGTCCGTGCCTGCACAACTCGTGGCATACCAAGTAGGCCTTCAGCTCCCGCACGGGTCCCAGAAGTTGCGCGAAGCTACCTTCGGACGATGAGGACATCGGAAGCAAGAAAAGCCAAAGAAAAGCCTGGGGCCTGGGGAGAAGGGGGGCTGGTCTTTGACGGCGGCAGCCAGCGGCTGCTCGTCTCGACCGGCTTCCACTTGGGCGTGCCAGAGCTGACCTCACGAGCAATCCGAGAAACCTCGACAAGGCACTTTCGGTGCTTGCTTTGGGGCGGCCTTCTTCCCGGAGTTTCGCAGCAATCTCCTCAGGCAAGGCAGCTCTCATCAGCAAAACTTCACGATGGGGCGCCTCATCTGCATCGAAGTTTCGGCTTCTGCCAAGCCGCTGGGCCATGTGTGGATCAGGGAGCTGTCTGACAAGAGCCGGCACAAGCCATGAAAAAGCCAGGCATGCTCGTCCGAATCCAGTCGCACGGAGACTCCGAACCTTGAGGAAAGAGCGCTGCACCGAAGCAACCCCAGGCAGACAGAGGCACACCGTCACACTCACAGTGACTCGGCATAGGCCTCGGGCCAAGCAGTGGCGAAGGCATACGCCTGCACTGGTCTCAGCACCGCGGAGCACAGCGTTGGGCATGAACCTGACGACTGTCGAGCAAGACTCTGTGACTTGTACGATACAACACATCATGCTGGTGGAAGGACACATAGGCGCCTAAGTACCCTGACCCTTGCTTGCAAGGACGAGACGGCCAATTTCGTTTGGATGAGGATGACTGACAAGAGCATGTGCAGTGATCTGAGCCCCTTTAGGCCCGAGTCATACGGACACTCAAGAGATGGTGCTTCCAATGCACTCAAGGCGACTGGCTAAGAGCGACAAGTCGAAGAAGTGGATGCCACCGTGGATATCGAAACAGGGCAGGCTCGAGCCCTTGGATCGGGACAAGCAGTCGGCGAAGAGTGAAAATGCTGGGAACTGTGTTCTTGCATTCCCTTGGGTTCCGTCATCTCAAGGGATCCCTTACCAGGATGTCTGGGCTGGGTTTGGGGATCTGGGAGTCTTTGCCATCAAAAATAGAAAAAGATTGGTTGCTACCCCCTAAACCCTAAACCCGCAGTGTGCCGAGAGGCAAAAGGCCTAGCATCCCAGCTGGCCGCAGCTTTGCCCAGAGACTTTGCATCTGCAAGTCTCGGGGCTGCTGCAGGTCGCAGATGCGGCAAGGGCAGAAATAGCGAGGTGCCTTAGCCATACTATATGGAATAAGAATATACAGTTAGATAGTATAATATATCAAAAATGTATTTAATATAATGTAATATATAACTTACAATCATTAGCACCAGAATCAGTAAACCAACTATCTGACCAACTATCTGTGTGAGCATCCTCCGAAGCCTCGACGGTTTCAGAAAGCAAGTGCTAAGAGGAGTACCGATGCTTAGGCGAAGCTCGAGGAATCAGCAAAGGGAGAGCGAGTTTTCATGTGCGAGACGGTTTGAGGCCGGAGAGGGTTTTATCCCATCTGCGACCTCCGGGGCGGTGTGGATCCAGGAATCTATCAACAAACTCCTCGATTCTCTCATCCGGGCGGTCTTGCACAGAGCTGTTTGTGCCTCGGTACAAGCAGCCAGCGGCAAAGCGCGACCCAGCCTCGGAAAACATAAATCGGATTAAACGCACGTTCCGCAAAAACAACTGGAGTGCCTGTTGGCAGCCTCTACGGTGGTGCTCCTCTACGATGCCCTTTCCAGGACACTAGATAGGCGTGGCGCGATTCTCCTTTCTTCGGCAGAGTGTTGGCAAAGCTTTGGGGTTCTGCAGCGCACTCATCTTTAGCATCTATCAGGACCTCGCCCCTAGCAGAGACCCCTGATTGAGCCGAGCCAGCACTTCGACCAGTTTAAGTACTTTGTAAAAGTAAGTACAGCACTGTTACAGCACAAGATGCTGCAAAAGAGTTGCCGGCCAGTAGTTTTTTACACGTGCATACTCAAGCAAATTGCCAGGAATCCTGAAATTCAGCACATTAGAAGCCAAAGCACGCTTCCTCCACGCCTCGCAGTGCAGCGCCTGCGCCACGTGCTGCTTGTGGAAGCAAAGCCTCTTGCGCGAATAGTTGGAACCCTTTAGAGATCCCAGAAGGGAAAAGGAACGCTGTTGTGATCGGGGTCGTCATGACCGCACGGGTGCCAAAAGCTTCTCGTTCGTATTTTTTGCCGATGCCAGAAACTGGGGGGGTCATACCGTGAAGAGGATGCCGAAACTTGACAGATTTAGTCCAGGAGATTTTGGATTTTAGAGAGGATGTTGACGCACCCATCAAGGGTGGCCGACTCTCGGAGGCAGCTGACTCACCCCCAGCTGTTACCACCGCAGCATCTGCAACAGCAGGAGCAGGCCGAGGAGGAGGAGGAGGAGTAAGAGTAGAGGAGCACGGCAGAACAAGTTAGCAACTACCAGTTATCCATCATGTCCGTCCCCTGAAGCCCTCAACCCCAAGAAACCGCATCTACTTCCCTCGCTCCTGGAAGCCGAGAGGTGCCATGAGACGGCCTCGTGGGGGGAAGTTCTTCGAGGTTGCTACTACTATCATTAATATTATTGTCAATAGTTGATAATTATCAAGATACTTATCAATATTATTACTACTACTACTTCTTCTACTACTTGCTTCTCTTCGAGGTGGGTTTTACAATATAGGCTCTTCCATGAGTGAGGGCAGGATTCAAGCCCAAAGATGCACGCAAAAGACCACCGTCGCAAACCTTACTGCAAGGCCACTCTGTCCTCGAAGCACGAAGCCCCAAACTGCAATCCGGCCTTTGTCATAGACCTCCTCGGCAAGGGGCCCGACAATGAGTGGAACGTCATGCGGAGCCAAAGGACAGGCCTCGCGGTACCTTGCTTGCACTGGAAAGAACGTACAGTAGGCCCTTCTGTCTCTGACGCAGTGCAGAAAGCTCCTGAACATGTTGCAGGCCAAGTGGCTTGAAGCAGGTCAGATCGTCCGTGGAAGCTAAGGATTCAACCTCAGAGAGAACTGCGCACTGAAACAGAAACGGAAGCAGACCGCAGGTCTCTAACTATAGTCTGTAGATGTGGTCTCTTTCGGAGTGGGCACAGGAAGAGCGTGATTCCTTGTTTGTTACGGGTCTGTTGTCTGCCTTGTGTCCTTCCCAGGTCGGCAGCACTTAGACTTAGACCTCGCTCCCCGTGACAGGCTTTCCACAGCCGCTGCGAAACCTTGCAGCGCTCCGCTTCACGGGCTGTGACACTGGCTGCCCCTTGGGGGTGCCCGGAAGATGTCCGCGCGGCCGACCAGCTCGTTATAAGGTCGTTGCAGTGGCTCGAAAGTCGAGAATCTGCATCTTTGGCAATGTTTCCGTCCCCGCCATCGCATCGCCGCATCGTGATCCACAAGAAGCGTTGTAATTACCCTGATCCACAAGACACGCGGTAAAACTGTGCCAAACAGCCTGCTCAGCCAAAGCGTTCATGGTAGAAATAGAAGCGCTGCATGTAGCCGCTGCTTTCGTTGTGCTTGTTGCAGGCGACACACGCTGTTTGGATTCCTTCCTTGAGTGAGTCGTTGCCACAACAGTACACGAAAACATGCTCCCGAAGGTCCGCATGACCAATGGCTAGAAGCTCTGCTACGAAGTCTGGCCTGCCTATCACAATTACCAAGGGCGTGTCCGACTCTAGCGTGCTGCCTGAGACCACAGCATGCAGGGGCTTGGGATAGTGGCAGAAAGTGGGCACAGTCTCGCTGCTTCTTGCTGCAAGGCGCCGCACCCAATCGTTCCAAATGTCACGACTTGCCAGGTCAAAAAGGCAGCCCAGGCCTCTACCATCCCAACGCGGTGTGGCGTGGAGGTGGCACTTCGTGTTGCCACCTTGAGTCTCCAGCTGGGCAAAGAGGTCCTTGAAGAGGAGGAAATCAGTTGCCCAGGCCGACATCCAAAAGACATGTGCATGCTGACGCTCCTGTGAAATATGTGAACCGGCAAGGCTGCCCAGGAAGGATAAGAATGGGGTCACTCCAACGCCGGCGCCGATCCCCACGACTGTGGAGTGCAAAGGCATGCTGACAGTGGGAGCATAGAACGGGCCGTCGATGTTCACTCGCGGGAAGGCATGACCAGCACAGCCATCGGTGCAGGCATCATTCAACTTCTGGGTCCAGCGGCCGACGCTCATTATGCAGAAGGTGATCAGCTGGCCTCCCCTCTCATCATCCTTGCTATTGCTGATGGTGAAAGGGTGCCATTCGAATCGGGAAATGCTCGGAATATTGATGTAGGCATATTCGCCAACGTTGCATCTGCGGTAGCCAGAGCTAAGCTGTACTTCGATGCGGACGAGCTTGCCATTCAGGGACTTCTCAGCAGTCAGCAGTGTGGAGGGGCAAAACCACGCGAGGTAGGCACGGCGGCTGCGAGTCCATGCGTATGCAACAATGGGAATCCCAGCAACCAGAATCACCAGCGGAAAGCCAAGGCCCACCCAGCCGTTTGCACCATGGAGCACCAATAATATTACCCACGCAGGCACCAGGAAGTGGTGGAGTTGGTAAAAGAGGCGGAAACGTGCATGCCTTACTTTGGCGCTGGAAGCCCATCCCAAGAGGCAGATCACGATCAGCAGCAGGTAGCCTGTAATTCCTGGTGTGGAAAAAACACCATCGAAGTAGCCAATGTCTGCATTTGCCGGCAGTGGGCAAGCCGGATATTGGAAGCTCTTCAAAAAAAGCCCTGCCTTGCCAAGGTAACCGGCAGGTAGCTCACTGGGATCTCGCGCGCAGACCAAAGCTTTGTTTAGCTCTTCAGCGGTGCTTCTCTCAAGCGCAGTGAAGGTTCCAATATGATGCGCGAGTGTGTGCACAAAGCTATCTAACAGAACCTGCCAGGAGCTGAAAATGTGGAGCTCCCTTTGGCAGTTGATGAGCTGCATGAGGAGCTGCGACCTCTGCACACATGGCCGCCGCGCCAAGAGAGACAAGAAGTCTCGGGACATGGTGAGGAAGAGGATCCCCGTCCAGAAGCATGCGCCGTAGGCAAAGCCACGCGCGAGAGGGACGGGCAAGCCGATGAGGTGCCAAGTCTTGGGCGTGGTGTAGTAAAACTCGTAGGTCGCAAAGATCACCATCTGGAAGGTAACGAAACACCAAAGTGCATACTTGAACTGCGCCAACCGAGAAGCAGCCACGTCTTGCAGTATCAGATTTTCCTTCTTGGATTCTGCCTTCGACGTCTTCATGATGTCAGTAGACACTTCCGCATCGGTCGTTACCTGTTTGAAAGCAAGCGAGGTAGAATCACAAAGACTGCGTGTTGAGCTCTTGGAGCCTCTGGAGCCAGTGCTGGTTTTGCTGCTCCGGCGCCGGGTCACTGCCTGGCCGCCCGACGCTTCGCACAGCTCGGGCTCCTCCGTGTCGAGGCACTGCTTCTGAACTGTGCTCTGCGGATGCTGAAGCCGTGTTTTCAGCACCTCGCAACAGGAAGCAATCAGCTCCTCGTCAGCCCAGAAGTTCAACTTCGCCGCTGAGGCCTGCATCACGGGCTCCAAGACGTCGTCGCAAAGATCCAAGTCGTCCAAGTTGGCAAGGACTCTGCATACCTCGTCCCAGGACGAACACTTCACAGAGCCCAACTTCTCGATGATGGCGGACACCCTGTCGTCAATATCGATCCGCGTCACGGGCGTCTCGTCCACTTCCTCCTCGTCCGGAACGCCTGGCATGAAGAAAGACTGCACCTGCGTACTTGCCATGGCCGACGGAAGTCGAACTCCATCCAGCACCTGCCCTTCCTACGCTACGAAAGCTGAGCTTGGAATCTCGCGGTCTGTGCCACATGTGGTCTTGGCACTGCAATCAACAATCACATTCTGTCTATCCGAAAAGAGCATATCATTCATTGCTTGGGTATGAACGGAGGCAAAAACAGGGCAAGGAAGGGTCGGACGACCATGCTAAGGGACTTCTTCAATCTAAGCTCCGGTAGATCTTGCTACTGCCGTCTTTGTCCAAATCGGACTGGTTGAAGAGCTGCAGTGACCCGGCACAGGTGCTGAAGCACGTGGTGTGAATCGATGGCTTTGAAGGCTTCCCGGACTCCCACGAACTGAAAGTTAACCCAGACCCGCGGAATGTGCCGCAGGCCGCGGGTCTTGCTGCCTTCCAAAACGCACCAGGCCACAGCCAGCAACTGCTTTGGTCTGCTCGATTGCTACTATTAGATGAGTTGCTTGAAGTCGAGTGAAGGTACCCCAAGACGATTCGAGGATGGCCGAAAGAGGCCGAGGTTCCGGCAAGGCGGCCCGAAGTTACGGCCCGGAGGCTTCGTCGACTTCGGACGCTCAGATCCAGCTCCATGGGGCACGGCGGCTGTCCGCGCTTCTCGACCTCAGAACGGCTCTCTGCTCCGTCTCTTCTCTCCCAAACGAGTTCCGCCTGCAGCCCTTGGCCCTTGGCCGCCTTGAGAAATGCGCAGGTCGGAAACCAAGAGGGGCAGCTGCGCATGTGGCCTTTCAGCAAGAAGTCTTGCAAAGGGCACGCAGCATCCAGGGTTTGTGTGCACTTCGGCTTCACCTACTCAGTTCAGAATCGGCTTGTTATAGATGTCTTCGAATTGCACGGTGCCCCCACTTTCTCGCTTCGTCGTCCAGTTGCCCCTCGAGTTCCGGATGGCGTCAGGCAACGAATGTGACTTGCTGCTCCCTTCCTGCTGCGGATGCTGGTGGCCTTCTTAGCTCTTCACAAAGCTTGTTGCCGTCTCCCTGAATGTGCATTTTAACGATGACCTTGGCTGCAACTAGAGACGTCCTAGCATCAGCCTCGCGGAAGATGCCTTCTCATCCTTCGAACAGCACTAACAGGCCTGCCAAGAAAAAGTCCATGTCGGCGGATGTTTCCGCCTCACCGCTGCCCCCGATGCCGTCCGAGACACCACCTGAAGCTGGTCAAGCACAGGGTGAAAGCAAAGCCAGTGCCAGCCAGCATGCGGGGACAGACAGAGACAAAGAGAAAGAGAGACAGCCAAAGGTCACTGGGCGAGGGAGTGAGAAGGTAGAACAAACCGGGAACAACGGTGACAGTTGTTCGATTTGCTTCAGCTGGAACGGAGGTGGAGACAGAAAGAGACAGAGATGGAGAGAGAGAGAGAGAGAGAGAGAGAGAGAGAGAGAGAGAGAGAGGGAGAGAGGAGAGAGGGACGGGGGGGGAGAGGGGGAGAAAGAGAGCGAGAGAGAGAGAGAGAGGGAGGGGGGGGGAGAGAGAGAGCGAGACAGAGAGAGAGAGAGAGAGGAGAGAAAACAAAAAAAAAAGACAGAGAAGGGAAGAGAGGGAGGAGATAGAAAACAACAGAATAGACACAACTCGCCTGCATCGCGTGGATGGACCGGAAGGCGGATGAAGTGATTGCAGGAAGTTTCTGGTCGCAGCCACTCGCCTGCACGTGATGCACACCCGAATCAAAATCACAGGATGTAGGATTCATCTAGAGACCGGGCAACCTCGCACCTTCAATGACCCATTGGACCGCAATCTCAACCGACGTCAGCCTGAGTGGGCAGGAGTCGAAGCTAGCATCATCGGGACGCGTGCGCATGCAAGACATGTCAAGGAGCGTCTCGTCGGAGTCTGCGTTTGCAGCCTCGAGGACGCCGTCAAGACGAAGGGCAAGCACCTCACACGACTCAAAATGACTTCGCAATCGACTAAGCTGCGATGCGATGCATTCTTGCAGTAACGCTCATGGTAACCCGCATGGTCCTTATGGTAACCCCTATGGTGACCCGGAGAGTAACCCTCACTTCATGGTGGCCTGCACCGAACCCTTCTGCTACGGGCAGGTTGCTCCATCTTGCTGCCAGCTTAGCAGATCTTCCAGACCTTCAGGCGCCAGATCAGGTAAGCTAAGGCACACTATGAGGGTCATTTTAAGAATCTTGATGATACTCAAGGTTGCTATACATTTCGGGGGTGCTTGTAACGAGTACTATAACGTTCTAGCGATAAACTCTTAAGAGCTGCTAGAGGTGTTTTAAGAGCATAATCGTGAAACGCTGGCCGGCCTGACACTTGCACAGCACTCCCGTCGGAGTCCACTGCGGTCCAGCTCGGGGCGCCCATGTCGGCCAATGATGCCAACGGCTCTGTGTCAGAGTCGTCTGCTGCAGACTTCCAGCAGGAGCAAACTTTGTGCTCCTTCAGTTCAGCCTCGTCCTCGCCCAATCGAGGGATTGTTGCTCAAGACAACGCGAGTCCAGGAACAATGCGGGAAACGTCAGATGGCATCAAACAAGCTGGGAGCCTCTGCCTTTGGAGGACAAGCGGACCGGTGATGCGAACAGCAAATTCTTGCCCTGCCCCATACTGAGATCTTCCATCCACAACGGCTTTCGAAACTTTCAACCTGCCTGCAACTTCGACTATGTGCCGGGAAATGCACCAGAACCTCCTGGCCCTCGTTCTCGCCAACGTCCCTCGCACGGTGGCCAGACATTAACTTCGGCCGCTTCATGAATCCAGAGCAGATTTCCACATAGATGGCATCCACATGGCTCACATATGCACACATTGCACATTGATACATTGATACTGCTGGTGCCTCTCATGGAACTCGAAGACTGTGAGTCCCCGCAGCGCGCGGCCTCGGCTCTCTTCGCTTGGCTCCACACTGCCACGGGCATTCAGCAAAGGCAAGGCCTAAGGCCTAAGGGCCTAAGGCCCAGACAAGTGAAATCCACTTCGGCAAGGATCCTCTGTCGGACCAAGCCTCTGCTGGACTGGGGCTTCCCCGGCTTCCCCTTTACCGATACCACTGCAAGCAAAGAGACGAGATTGCGAGGAGCACAGCATGTGGCGGCAGCCATTTTGCTACAGAAGCTCAAGGTACGACATGCTGCCGAACACTGTGAAGGTGGAGCTCGACAGGCTGGGACCTTCGTCAAGTAAATTGTCTTAATTTACACCGGTCTGCTGTGGCTCCGCACAACGTGCTAGAGTTCGACTCATGGACTCATAACCCTTTGAGAACACGCAATGCAAACATCTCTCAAGCCTTGAGCCAAGAGAGGACCTTCGCGTCTCCACAGTTCCCGCTGCCAGTCTCGAGATGAATCATGCAAGAAGCCTTGCACTTTCCGAGTGGAAAGCAGATTTTGGCCTGCCGCCGCAGACCCTGGGACATCACTGATCACGCACTACAGCCGCGTTTGCGAGCATGAAGCGCCAAGAAGTGATGAAAGTGAAACGGTGATCCTGTGTCAGACGATGCATCACTTCTTCTTCCTGGACCAGTAGCGGGCGTTGGCAGATAAACTACTTCGCTGCCGGACTCAAGAATTCGTAAGGCTGGGACGTCTTGCAGAGCCAGTCAGCAAACTCCTGTCAGCATGCGGTGGAGAGTGGAATCTCCACCCCTGCATCAGCTGCGCGAAAATGGCACCCGGTGGCACATTGATCTGCGGCGTGTCCTCGTAATCCACTATTCCGTCGCCATTTTGGTCCATTCCCTGCATGCATGTGCGCGGGAACTACATTCTGCAAACTGCAAGCACAAGCGTCACAGGATGTCCGTGGCCTTCAGAAGCTTGTTCATGTCCTTCTTGGTGAAGGATGGGTTCAGGACGACCTCGCTGCGCAAGCAGCATACGAAGACTCCACCAGAACTGGCATCAAGAATATCCCCACTCCTCCTGGACTCTTGGACTCGGAGAATTGATTGTCTGCACTTGCTTACTTGCTTGAACCCGGAACCCAACAAACCATGTGCCAAGCTGCGAGAACTCGCTCCAGCTCAGCTTTGGAGATGGTGCCATCCTGTGCGGTGGAACTAATCCCACGAGAGGTAGGTCCGATCTCGTTTCCGGTCCGACGTGTGGAGCTGAATCCTGCTTTGGCTCAGTCATGTTTTTATGCATTGTCAGCCTGGCGACTACTGCCAGCTTGGAACTAGAAAGTCCTGTCTATATGCTACACTTACCGCGACAATCTGGCCTACACCACCCTCTTGCCTAGCCGGTCTGCATGGTGCTACGATGTGCCACGGGAGTCGCGGCATGCAGTGATGAGGAGATCATGCCACAGCACAGCCTGGTCGGCGTCCCAAGCTTGGAATGCCTGGCGGACTGGATCCACAGCCAACTTCCCGGTTTTTTATATCATCGGTCAGCAAACTTTACAGGTGGAGCCGTTGAAGCCAATGGCCAATGGACCCTTTCGGGTGCTGTAAGAGTATTGCTTGCCGCAATTTCCCGCGAGAGCTCAGTCTCGGTGTGCATGTCATGTGGAGGCGGCCTGAAGAATCGCTTCAGCAGGATCCTCCCCATCGGAGGTGCTGCGTCGAAGAAGCGCTCGAAGCTGTCATGTAAGCACGGATATCTTTTCGTTCTTGTTTCCAGAGCTAAAAACACCTCTACTGTGCGAGGCCACTAACTGTGAATGCCAGAACGAGAAAGCTTGCACAAGTGAAGACAGCAAATTGTTGAACTCTTAGAGCTCGACGTCAGCCGTCCCCTTGGCTGCATAAGTGAAGAACTCCTCATTCACGACGCAAGCACAGCAATGCTTGCTGCACAAACTGCATCAGGCAAGTCTCTCAAGTGCCGTATATAGGACACACACACACACAGCCGCTGGTCGCTGTTAGCCATTGCTGTCTGAATTGCCCATATAATGCAGGCATGGCTTTTAGCTACAAAGCTGCAATGGGAAAAGCGTCCCGGACTCCTGCTTGTCCAGCAGCCCGCTTCCATCTGGATCGAACCTGAAATCTTCACCGAGGGCTCGCTGTCTACTTTGTTGGAACTACTTCCTGTTGCGCGACATGCTCGGCATTTGGGATACAACATACTCAGGCATGCCTTTTGGTCGTGGTGGGTCGTGCGACTTCTACATCTCCAGAAAAAGACCAGGCCTCTTGAAGAGGCTTTCCGCTTGCGATCCAACTATGCCAACGGATTCCATCGCCTGATGCACGGCATAGAAGTAGAAATATGCACACTCTCTACAACTGTGCCTGCATTACCCCTTGTCGTGGGCCTTGCCTTCAGGAACTCATCCTTCGAAATGTTGGCATCCTCGTCCAAGTTCATCATCGCAAACCTGGATGGAACCAGATGTCCAGCATGCAAGTTCCATTCCCCATCCCGGTGACACACATCGCCCGAACACACGCACGGAACATTCGACCGATGCAATGCCGATGGTCCAACAAATTCTGTGCGATCGTTACTGCTAGCTGCTAAGGTAACAGGCGAAAGGTTGGTGCGGTATGAAGTGTGAAACTTTCGGCTTCTGAAGACAAGCTCCAAAATGCACTGCATACACACATACATGCGTGGAGCTTCAGAACTCCACCTTCTTTCTTGATGTACACAAGCAATGTCCAACACTTCAAGCAATGCATGGGGCAGCCAAAACAACCTGCAGCAGTGAATTTCGCATCAAGAAACAGCAGCAACCTTGCTGCAGAACACTAGTCACGAGTAAATGGCCGATGCTGTTGGGCCGAACCCCACGAAAAAATCTGCGAGAATGACACTTGACGATCGAACTTGAGAGGAATTGGAGTAGTTTTCAGATATTTCAACCCGCGAGAGGTACCAAGCAAAACGGCACAAGTGTCGCCACCAAAGCCACAGCTTGAATACTGCCGCTGTAGCTGTGGTCAGACATTCTGCGACCCAGCCGAAGTGTCAGGGTTTTGGTTGAGCCAGCCCGGAGTTCAGAGCAAAGGGGCCTAAATAATCTCCAATACTGTCTTGGAGTTCCTTGTCATAGTCGTATAACATACCCCAAGACCTTATGCAAATCACGATGAAGGCCGCTATAGTACAAGGTTTAAGGCACAGCTCAACAGCTCAGCTGCTTCGCGAGGCTACCCTGTCCATAGCCTTTACAACATGCAGATGCAGAGAAAGACCGGGCTTGGCAGCAATACCGAATGCGAATGATGAGGAGAATCGAGCTTCAGGAGCTTGGGATGCGGATTCGACATCGTAGTGTGGGGGTTGCATATCCGGCGACGACTAAATCCCCCCTTGCACTGCACGAACATGCTGAGCTTTTCAGGGGGTCGCTTCCCTGTCCTGGATCCTTGGTCACTCCAGCGTGCCGACCCGGCCAGATTTTAGCACACCGGTTTGAGCGCACTGGTCTCTTGCCGCCCACATTAAATCAACACACTGAGGCTTCAGGCGCTTCATGCATTCGTTCCAGTGGGCTGGGCTTGTTGGTCCGCTTCTTCTTCTTCTCCTGCCGTTTCGGAGAGCTGAAGGACTGGGCACTTCCAAAATCGACTGTCTTGTCTGCTATGAGCTGCCTTCGGGGCCATGGCGCTGTGGAGCGGCGACTCTGGGATGTGGAGCTGTTTTCAGTGTCAGAGAGTATGAAGGAGTATATAAACGGCAATCCCTGCTTGACGAGTCTATAGAGCCCAGCACGGCAAGCAGGCGGCTAAACCGCAGAACAGGCGCGACTGCCCACCAGCAACGGACTTGTCAAAGATGTGAGGCTTTGCTACCACACACCTGAATTGGAAGAATGCTCTTGTGCCAGTCTCCATCCCAAAACCCGACAGAATTAGATGGCGTGAACGAATGCTATAGCAGAGTACCGCAATCGTTTTGCCCGCACATCCTCCCTGCCCAGCTCACTGCTGGTTTGTCAAGCCTTTGTTGACTCGGAAGAAGCGTCTCCTGGCAGACAGCCGGGGAGCATTACGGAGACCGAGAAGTTGAGCCAGACGCGGCGACAGACCACAGTTGAGCGCTGTTGGCAATGGTAGTCAAGCTCACAACTGCGAAACAGAGGGACGTCCTCCAGCGCTAGAGAAGCGTCCGATTTGGACCACCGTTGTCCCGACGACCTCAACTGCTCTTCGACGTAGCGACATAGCTACATCAGCAGCGAATTCCAAACGGCACATTCATCACCCAGCCTCTGAGTTGGGCAGCATGACCAGATCCTCCCCCCGCTGGATCTCAATGAACGTCCAGCCCATCGCGAGAACCTTGCCTGCGAATCAACGGGGACAAGGGAGATTTCAACGGCCTCGGAGCTGCATCGAGCGGCAGGAGGAGGTATCATCAGCTCACAGAAATGGATGAGGACGTTATGGGTATCAGGTCGGGAGAAACACGTGACCGGTCGGAGCACTGTATCGGCTCAGGTCTGCAAGCATGGGCGACACCTTGCTACCCGCAGTGCGCTCATTCTCTTGGGGCTCGCTTGGCTCGGGCCTTGGATACCATTGGTCTCGATGAAATCGCCCACGGTGAATTGGCGGTTCAACTTGGTATTCGGGCTTGCGTGATCCCGCTGCTGCAACTTTGCACCACCGGGCACACGCAAGCTTGCAGAGGGGCAGTTGCCATCTGGGGCTATCGTATGGCTAGCAAAACTGCAAGCATGCTACCTGTAGCACTCGTAACTGTGGAGCTCATCGTTGTTACTTCATGTCATTAATACCGTGTATAATACAGGGATGCGACGCCTGTGCTGAGATTATACAGTTACAGACTACTGCGAAGGCACTGGGGCTAAAGCACACTCACTCAGGCGAAATTTTTGGGGGAGCCGGTGTAGACGGCAGTGAAGCATATGTAGCCAGAACTCACATCTGGATCCCCGGACAGCGTGAAAGGCAAGCTCGGGCTGGCACAACCAGCAGAAGGCCTCCACACTTCTCAAGACACGTGAAGTTTTGCGCAACGGAAGGACGGCTGCACTTCAATCCTTCAGAGCACACCGCAATCAGAAAAATGGAGCCCGCTGCACAGGAGTCCAGTGTTCGGGCATGCAGGGAGACAAAAAGTGCAGCAGGAGTGCAAGCTGCTGCCTGACATGAAGTTTCCAACCAGATTTTGTGCGGCGAGGCCGAAGGCAAGGCCGCTCACCCCGCCCAGTGCCAGGATGCTCCTGCGCAAAAAAAGCGCGGTGCTTCATGAAGGGTACTTGCAGATTGCAGACCTCACCTCGGGGCTAAGCCCAGCGTCCGCAGAACTCCAGAAGCCGTGTACAGGAGGATCACGGCATGCCTAGTAGTTCAGGGGTCTTGGCAGAAACCCTCTTGCCTGCTTCTGGGGCCAAGGCAGGAGAATGCTGATTATCACGGGCTTCATCACTTTACGATCAACACTCCTGGCAGCTTGCAAATGTAGAGAGGAATCTTATACTGCACAGGCTTGCTCACGCAGCCGCGGCAAGACATTGGTCCTCCAATATTGGTCTATAACCTTGGTCCAAGGCTTCGACAAGTCGGAAGGCCTGGGTGGACCTTGCACGTTAAACACCGATGATGGTCTGCCGGGTGCCGCACATCGTTGTTAGTCGCCTGGCCGGACTCGGACTGTGAGGGCAAGAGATCTTCCAAGTAACTTTCATGATGGGCACACAAGATGCTTTTCTTTAAATGCAATGTCCATGCCGGCATTTGCGTGTGTGTGTGTGTGTGTGGTACAACTCCAAAAAAGTACGATACGTTGTCCTGCGTATATCATTCCGTCGTATTTCTAAAGACGCAGGTGGACGTGTACATGCGCATATGTGCATGTACATAAGTATAAAAGGTCACGAACGTCACTTACATGCATGCATTCAGGTACGCACTCGCACGTGTGTACACGCACGACAGGCATATAGAAAGACAGAGACACAGCCAGATGGCCAGCCAGACAGACAGACAAAGACACATGTGTATGTATACATATATATGTATATGTTTCTTACAGTAGGATGAAGGAAAGAGCGAGAGAGCGAGAGAGTGAGAGGAGAGAGGCGTACATGAATACACTACATATTGTCACATATGTGCGCACATCCCTAAATACACATGCGGAGAGTCCTTGTACAGGGCGGCAGTAGACACGCTTCGAGTGAAGTAGGAACAACAATACCAAAAACTAATGTTGAAAACAAAGAGTGGATGTCGAACTGTTACCCATGATATACGATGCCATTTCATACTGTACTACACGACCCCATAGGCTTGATACACCAACTGCCGAACGCATGATGCAGATATCTATCTCGCTGTCTCTCTATCCCTGTATCTGCCTCCGCATATAGCTCTGCATCTATCCATGTATACAGCCCCTTTTGAGATCGGCACCGGGCCTTCTGTTTGATTTTTTCGACTCTTGTGGGGTAGCTGAGTGCTTCAAAGCGATGAATTCCCTACGCCGGCTGGCGGAAAAAAATACTACGCCGTCCTAAAGTTGCAAAACTTATTCATTGAGGAGGAGGCCCCAAGGCTCACTTGTGTCAAGAGTCTAGAGGGAAGAAGGTGGGTGCATGGGTCGACTTCTTTGTTCAAGCTGGTGGGTCGAACTATCGGACCGGCGCAGTATCTATCCAGCTAGCTACCTTTTGCATAAAGCCCTGCACCTTATGGCTGCGTGCGTGTGTGCGTACACATATATACATGTATACAGATAGAGATGTGTCTGTATTTATGCACACAAGATGTATGCACGTGTGTTTTGTTGAATGCCTAGAGCCTATGTACCTATAAATCTATCTGCCTATGCTCTGTCACTCTGGCTCTCTTGTCCCGCTCTCTCTCTCTTTCTCGCTCTCTTTGCTTTGCTTTGCTCCAGGGTGTGGGCCGCAAGCAGTCCTTGCGACCCGCGCGTTTGCGTTACCCCATCCAACATTTTGTCCGGATGGGCTTGGCTTTACACAAAGAGTTGTTGAGCGGGTGCCCGCGCGTTCTTCAACAAGGCTCTGTCTTTGCTTTGCTCGGGGCTTGGGGCGGGAGCAGTCCTCCCGTCCCGCGCGGGTGCGCTGCCCCATCCATTATTTGGAATGGATGGGCTTGGACTGTACAAGAAGGACTGCGTGCCCCTGTCCTTCAGGGGGGGTGTGGCTGGGTTCCCTTCCCAACAGGTTGAAGGTTGAGTCACGGCTGAAAAGCAAAAGGAAGGGTGCCCCCGAACAAAAGGGTGTGCGCAAGAAGGGAAAAACATGCTCGAATTATCGGCATGAACAAGGCTCTCTCTCTCTCTCTCTCTCTCTCTAGCTCTCTCTCTCTCTCTGTCTCTCTCCCTCTCGCGCTTGCTTGCATACGGACAAGGGGAGCGAGCCCCCCTGCGCTCTCTCTCTCTCTCTCTCTCTGTGTCTCTCTCTCTCCCTCTCTCTCTCTGTGCATGCTGTCTAGTCAACGGTGTGGACTCCTTGCTGCAGGAGGAACCGTACTGACGCGTGCATCAGAATGCAAGTTTTCGCAACTATGCACGCATGCAAGCTTGTGCCTACATACATGTATACGTATACGTGCAGCACAACCAGATGTGTGTAGGAACACAGCATATCTGAGTTTTGCAGGTGAACATGCACACATTCAACAAACATTCACTGCATCCTGTCGTAGGAACACACGTACATACATGCATGCAGACGCACGCCAACATACATAAATACATATATACATACATACATACATACATATATACATAGATACATGCATACATGCATGCATGCATACATGCATGCATTTATACATACATACAAAGATACATACATACAGACATACATGCATACGTACATACATAGAGACACATACATACATACACACACATACATGTACACATGCATACATACGTAGTTACCTACCTGGCTGTTTCCGTACATAATAAGTACATATGTGCATGTGTGCATATGCACATGCATGCATATGGTCATGCTTGGATGGACATACATACATGCATACATACCATACATACAGACATAAAGACATGCAGGCCTACATGCATACGTACATACATAATTACATACCAGTACATACACACGTACGTACACACGTACATGCATGCATACATACATACATACATACATACATATACACATACATACATACATACATACATACATACATACATACATACACATACGTACGCTACATACCTACCTATACCCGTACATGAACACATACGTGCATGCGTGCGTACATGTATATGTACATGCAGCATCATGCAGCAAACAGTTACATGCCCACCTACACCCATACAAAAATGCAAAAACTCATGCGTGCATGCCTGCAAGGGTATATGCATGCCTACATGCCTAATTTGAGGTCTGCGGGCGCACCTTACACAAGCGATTGCAGGATGCCTCGTGCGATTTCGGCTTCGCAATAGCCATCAAAGCGAAAAGGCCGGTCTCTAAGTAACATAGCACCTAGGCAGATCTTTGCTTCCGGGTTTGGAGTCTTGGGTTTGGGGCTGGGGGTGTCCGCGTGCACAGAGCCTGACACCAATCTGCAAGCAGAGAACTCGCAGCAGCTTGATCGACAATGTCCGAACCACGATCCTCGGAATGCAAGCATAGAAGAGTGGCTACAGTAATTGCGGCTAATAGAGTCCATGCTCCCAAAGCTTGCAAAGGCACATGGAACAAAAACTGCAGTTGTAAGACATGACTGGAAACCCTCACCCCGTACCATCCTGGCGCCGAGAATCCCCATCTCCGTGCCCGTGAGGATACCATTATGATCCGGGTCCAGGACCTGGCGAAGTCAGGGGAGAAGGGGAAGAGTGAACTGTAGCCCAGGAAGTAGCCCTTCTATTAGCAACCCCCCAAAATAGCTCTTATAGTGCTCTTTCAAAGGAAGGGTACAAACTGTAGAATCCTTGTAGCAACCCTTGTAATACTTATTTTGTAATGGATGGGACAAGGCGCTACGGGTTTGCAGGAAGCTCGCATTCAAGCTCCGAGCAAAAAAAGGCACGCCGAGCATAGGTTCCTCTGGCCTAAGCTATGTGTGCCCAGCATTCGCAGAAGGCACGACGCGCGCGCGCGCAATGTTGGGAAATCCCCCGCTCACATCGGGGCTGGCGCATCAGGGCTGACACCGGGAGGGGAGGATACTGTTGGCTGGGGGAAGGGGGGATGCGGAACGGGAACACATTCGGGGGCTTCGGGTGTGGAGGTTCAGGTCCACATTGAAGAGCATTTAATATTTAAGGGTTGCCTGGTTTCAGGTCACCGAGCTGGCAAATTAATTGTTTGGACGGATGGAGGCACTGACGTAATAGTCTGAGCCCTCAGCAAGAGAAAAGAGTGTGCCAAACTCCGAAAAGCCCGTAGTAGCTACCCTCAGCCCTTGATGGTGGATGTGGAGGCTTCATTCTTGCAGCTACACGGCATTCGCCTTCAGATTCTCTGGCAGCTCGAAGTGCACGCTTTCCGGCACTGCCGCCACCAGCCTTAAAGCTCGGGCAAAAAGTTGCAGCCAAACCTGAAATGGGTTCTCCCGGAGTCGAGGTCGGCACAGATTCACTGCGAAGAACAACAGCAGAGCCTCTCGACTACACATAGGCACCAGCCTCCCTTCGAGTCCTCACTGCTTCTTTATGCCTTTGTGTACACGAGTGTGAAATTATGTGCGTGCATGTTGGATTGAGAACAATGACGCAGTACCGTATCCCAGACGTAGGCACGAATGTTACGAAGCCCCGCTGTTTCTGCCAAAGCAATTGGGCAGCGCACCGTCATGAGATTGTGCGCCCCGGGAATCGCAGACTTTACCTGAGACTCTTGGCAGCCAGCCGTAGATCAGGCCAAGAACAGTTCCACCAACGGGATCACCCATCAGTTCAAACCACGCTTGATCGTTTCCTTAAACATTCGAATGCTGCAGCTCAGATGCAATGTGCCGAAGCCCGAAAGTAGGCATGTACCTGATGGCTCCGTTAGATTTGCGTGTGAAAAGCTCTCATGAGAAAGCTTTCACGATCAGTCCTGGTGGCTCTGGGGGGAAAACTTGTTACCTGGTAAACCTAACCCACCCTTACATAGCCGTACATAAACCCACAGTAACCTTAAAAGCCAATAACTTTTACAGTAACCTTTACAGTAGGAACTGTTGTAACCTTTAAAGCCCATACAGCAGTAATATAGCAGATCCGCAAAGAGCGAGCGACCTAGCCAGGGTGTTCAAAGGCTTGTCGACGCCCCATCTGATGGCTCCTTTCCTTGGCTTCCGTAGGGGTTTAGGTTTGCGGGCTCTATTGTTCGAGTGTGGTGTAGCACCTCTGCTTTTGAAGGTGTGGGGTTCAGAGTTGGGGATTTGACCTGGAGATCAAGATGACTCAATGGCTCCGGGAAATACTGCTCGCATCCGATCGCCGTAGCAAGTGTAGCTCAGAATTTGCATGATGCTGTGTTACATCGCTGTTCGTTCCCAGAGAGTGTCAGCCGATTTCGCCTCCCAAGAGCAGTCTTGGCAGGCAGACACGCATCAGTTGCAGTCCGAGTGCTCAACAACGCCGCGGTTGATCTAGGTCACTTCGGACAGCCTTTTCTGTTGCGCTATTCGCGCGCGGCACACCCCGAGAGTCCCGGGCAGACCCATTCCAGAAAGGACCTCAGGTGCCGAACTACTGACCCAAACAAGTTGTTTCATACACGACAAAAAACTTCAAAAAACAGCACTGCTCTGCTCGGCCACCGCGTCGATCTTCGACAAGCAGTCCCCGGCAAAGTCGAGCCGCAAGCAGTCCCGCCGGCACCTGCCGATTCGGTTGGGGCTGGTGTCCCCTTATTCCATGCTCTTCTTGCTTCGGGATACTTCGGGAAGACGGGGGAACTGAGCGAGTGATGCTGGTGCTTATTCGGACTGGGAATCGGAAGCCGCTAGCTGCACGTTAGCAGGCAATGCCAACATTTCACACAAATGAAACCGTCACCTTCCAACTTTCGACCTCACCTTTGTCAAACAAAAGTTACAGTGAAAATACTGTATGAGAACCCACTGTTTAAGAACCTGAGCCCTTACCCAGGCGGAATTCACCAGATTCAAGTTGCTTCAACATTGAGATCCTCAGGGTACCCTAGTTTTTTGGGTCAGGTTCTTATTTTTTAGGGTTCGATCCCTCACCAAGGAAATTTAGACTTGAAATCTACATTTCCCAACCTTCCACATCAAAAAACCCTCTGCCTGAACATAAGGAGCGTATGTTGGCTGGCTAAAGAAAGGTATGCCACAGCGCCGTGGTTGTGCAAAAATTCTGGCATCGCGAGGCTGCTGTTTCGAACCCTGCTGGTGTCATGTTCTGGAAATTTGGAATTCAAAACTAAATTTTCTAAACCTCCAGCCTCCTGCTCAGCCTGTGCCAACCCGCACCGCATATTCCACCGAGACCGAGCCCTTTCCCACCAAACCGTGGAAATTGTTTTCCACACCAACCTCCTCCTGCATGGCCCTCTAACCCCTGGCCCGAGGCTCCGATCCACACCCCCAGCACCATGAAACTTAGAATCCAAACGTAAGTTTCCTGGAAACTCTCACCCTCCGCTTTCCCTTTTTCTGAGGCCCCTGGCCATGCCCTCCGCCCCGAGTCCTCTTCGCCGAGCTGTTGAAGTTTAGAATGGAAAACTAAATTTTCCAGACCCCCATGGCCCACCACCCCCCCCCGCCAGGAAATTCAGAATCCGAAAGTAAAGTTCCTGAGAGCCCTCAGTCAAGGTGTCAATCGCGCTCTTGATAACAACCTGGTTAGCAACCCGAGCCTACCCTAGCTGCCCGACGGGCAAAATCAAATGAAATGGAAATTAAGAACCTTCGGCTCGGCTACTCTCGCCGAACGGGGTTCTTTCAACGGGTTTTCACTGTATCGCTTTTGTTGTCGTTTGGACACTCAGCTTGCCTCGGGTGTCGGGGGCTTCATGTAGCAAGTCTTTAAGTTTCAGGTTGCAGCGATGCAGTCGGCACAAGCAAGTGCAATCTCTGAAGCTTCAGTTTGCACAAGGCGATAGATGTAGAGTAGCAAGATCAGTGGGAGCAGTACTGTAGCAGCAGTGGCCGTAAATCGTAGGTCGCGGTAATCGTAATAGGATTTGTCAGAGTATTCGTGTAACATACATGGAATTGTTACCGTCTATTTTATTGCTTGTCGTTTCACTGGCTAAACAACACGAGGAGCATCCGAGAATATTCTGCACAACCTCCTGGCATCAATGCCCACTGACTAAACCTCTGAAAATGGCATTAGCCATGGGCTGTCCGTTAGTGGAGAACAACTGCATTGGCCATCCATCCACCTTGCTTCCGGCGATTTGAAGCTGTGCATAGCATCTACATTCCACGTACAACAATAAATGCTCAGCCGAAAACCGGCATAGAGCATGTTGGCCAGATGCCTGCGGCGCTCAAACATCGAAACTACACATCTTCAGACTGAGCCCTTTGCACAAAGTCTAGGGGGACATTCGCTCACATTACACTACAAGAGTCAGGATGCGCAAGCTTGAAGATGCTGCTACGTGCCACAACAACGCAATCTGCCTGGGCTTGGATGCATGCTGCGATGACTTGCGGTGGTGCAACATCCAATACGAGTCCAAATTCAGTCCAAATGTAGGTCTATTGATCTACGTGTCAACTTCCAACCCGCAGCAGCTAACAGCCAGCCATGTGCAAGAATAGAATCAGAAGCAATAGCCCTGCGCATGCGCTGAACCCGACACTTACAATAGAGAAGAAGGCTGGATATCCGAACCGAATCCTCCGATTCTGGATGCCCAGGCGAATGACATGTTCTTAAGCAGAGCCTCGTCACTTGCTCGGCCTTCGCAGCGAGGAGTTGGGCTGTTGGGCTCACCGTTTGCACTGCCTGGATTTCGGACTCAGGGCACATGGGCTAAGGCAAGCCCATCTGGACGAGTGGCTGCTCAGGCGTGTGTGACGTCTGCCCAGGACTTTCCGGTCACATTCTCCGCTGAGCAGTCTGTCGCATGTCGGCACTTTGTTGACCAACTGCTTGACTCAGCCGTGGTCCTGGCACGCTCTCCCAAACGTCTCCTTCCTTGGGCTTTGCCAAACGGAGCTCCAAGCATTCTTGGCATGGCCCCGTTTCGACGGAAGACTTCCTGGTAGCTGTGGTCGGGCTCGCTGTGCTTGTCCGAAGCCGCTGCTGCAAGCAGCACCACGTGCGGTCGCACCCCGCAACACAACCCCGAGAGTGCAGCTACAGCTACGACCTGGTCGTACCACGAAGACATGGCGAAACCAGAACTTGATGGGATGTCGCGCGCAGCTGGTGTCTTGAGCCGAAATGGGACGCAGGAGACACATCCCGCAGTCAAACTGGTTGCAAATGTTAACACAGCCGTGATGATGTGCGTGATCTGTTGAGCATATAATACAGCATCATGGTCGTGAGCAAGTTACTGGTATTGCTTGATCACTGTCGCGGTCATTTTAGTAAACGCGGTGACAATAAAAATGTTCCCGTGGCAAAATTCCCGGGCGGAAGGGGAGTGTAGATTGTGTACCCAAAATGGCCCAAACAACCGATCTTAGAACTGGTGTCGGGTTAATAATAGGCGTGACAATAAAAATATTACCGGCCCCAAATCCTCCCAAAAACTAGGATCCAGGCTAAGTAACTAGCAAAAGCTGAAACTAAGAGGCCAGCAGAGTGCAGTTCCGCAGACATGACACTGAACTACCAACTCTCAGAGTTATTACTATTAGTACTACAATCCCCGGACACGGCCAGACGTTTATTATCAGTACCACCCTCCCCAAACCCTGCTGGGGGGGATTACAGCGACCGTAACATTAGTCTGCAATATCACCATCGTGAGCATCATCACGTCTCACAAAACCTCTCAGCCAGCCCCCGATCGACGACAGCACCTGGAGGTTGGGCACTTCCAGCATCCGCAGCTGCTTCAAAGTTGTCCGACTCGTCCCATATGGTTGAGTCCTGCCTCAGAAAGTTCTCATCGGGGCTTACAAGTTTGCTTTGCTTAGGGTCTCTCAAGCCGAGAAATATCGAGGAGCGCATCAAGGGATGCAGCATGACTCCGGAGATGCGTGCAAGGACTCATGGCAGGTCGTTAAGGTTTGGGGCCAGTTGCGTGGGCACACTCGGGGCTATCTTCCTCTACGCCCGAAGGATTCGAACTACGAAAGGAGTATTGGAATTGCTGCGTTTGTGGCGTATGCATGCATGGTTTCTTGTTGAGGCTTAGCAGTTCGATATCGACTGCTCTTCGTTGGCCATTTTGGGTTCATAGGTCCGTACGTGGTATATGTTTACAAGATCCGTGATTATGTGTTGTGTCTATATTTCTATATGTCTGTACATATACAGATCTGATGTATACCGTCAATTGAAATTTCAACATTTGGTATGTATACTGTAAAGCATGTGCAGATTGTTTACAGGAAGAGAAGCATTGCGGTGGTTTGATCTGGAGGAACCAGGTCGGCGTGATGCAGGCAGAAATGAAATCATACCAGAAAGGTCAAGTTTAAATGCATTGAAGGCTGCCTCCTCCGACATACCAGCGTGAACAGTTCTGTGTTGAACAACGGTGCAAGCTGTGTTGGTCTTGCTGATCAAGCACCCCAAACCCCAAAACAAACATCTTTGCAGGAGCGAGAAAACCCTCATACAAAGCAAGCACTAGTCTCATGAGGCGGCCACCGAATCAAAGCTGTCACCGGGAGCGTCACGCGCAGCTCCTTGAAATTGGAAGCAGAAAGAAATTCTTAAGACTTTCAGTCCGGTTGAACATCACTTGCGAGTTTCGGGCTTTTGGGCACAAGGCTCTCAAGGATGCGCAAGGCATCAAAAGGGCTTATGCTGTGGCTCGTCAGCTTCGTGAGACGCGTTGCTTCCGCCGCACCAATTTGGGCATACCATCCACACCCTGCCTGAACCCTCAGCGAAAACAAGCTAGTGCATGTTCGCAAGACACCTGTTTCAGGAAGCTCATTACCCTGCAACAGATCGCGGCATCAAGCTTCAAGCTCGCACATGTCAACCGTCTTCACTAGTAGTTGATATGGACTGCAAGACTGATGCGCAATGTTTTTGAATCCGCGCAGACCTACTCCCCTTGAGAATCGCGAACTTCAGTTGAGCAGAAAGGTTTTTAGCACATTCATGAAGCTTAGTCCAGCCTGGCGGGAAGTGTTGGATATTTGCGGCCCCAAGCCGCGTGAACGCTCGGTGGTCGCTGTAAATCCCGCAGTAGTGCGATCGCGACCGGCCAGTGCGAAGGACACAAAAGTGCTGTCGCGCAACACCGTTGTGGGTGCCAACATTCGGTGAAGACAGCATCCCTGGATCCTCCTCTCGTCTCAACGTCTCGGCTTTTAACCCGAAGGCTCTAGGGGCTCCCTGCAGACGAGTATCCGGTTGAAGGTAAGGTGAGAAGCTCTGTTCAGCCTCGGGCCCTGCTGCCTCGTCCTCGCCGTGTCCCAGGCAAGTCGGCTTCAACTCAGCCTCGCACGAAGGCTCTCCAACAAGCATCCGGCATCGGAGCAATGACTTTCAATCCATTCATGCTGTCACGACTGGCCTGTTGCACGGGCAGGGAAGTTAGATCAAGCAGCGATGGCCACCAATACCTCGCCATGATGTCAGCTGCAGGGGACACTGCTCTGATCGCGGTGAAGCAGAGGTGAAGTGCCGGACAGTCATTATAGAAGCCAGCAGAGCGGGTGGCCTTGTAATTACTTGCAAGCCCGACCTCGGTACGAGTATGTCTGCCTGATGTAGCCGTGACGTCTCAGAGACCACCATCAGGACGTCGATCCCCGCACGGGCACCCCGGGTTGAAGATGCCACGAACAAAGGCAAGAAGAACTCACAGCCACTGGAGGTCCGAGTTGACTTCTCATAATATGTTCTAGCATGCGTCTAAGCACCAAGACATGCATCAAGCCTGTCTGGGAAGGAACATCTAGGTACCCGGGTTCAGTCACAAGCTGGCAAGGAGCCAGTACAGTGCCACGAGGGAGCCGCTGCTACCGGCGAAGATGGCAGCCCTGGGCCGTAGCATGCCCATCACAAAATATCACGAACGTGCTTGCCGCAATAATTAGAATGAGGCTCAGGGTACATTAGAGTAGGTTTTCTAGTCAGTCCGATCCCCAGTATCACGCGCCTGCAATCACCTGACTTGGAAGTGGGAGTCAGGGCGCAGCACCTAAGCCTAGTTGTGTCTCATATGATTCCAAAGCTAGACATCCCACCACTGCATCCACGTCGGAGCTATTCCTCTCAGTCCCAGGTCTGCACGCGTCCGCACACATGAGGTTCCGGCACCATGGACTCTTCTCGATCCAAGAGGATCAGGGTCATCACCTCAAAAGAGATGACCGACACACTCCCACTTCACAAACCTCAGTTTACAACGAACCTTCTGGGCTGAAGTACCTGATTTTTATGTAGGAGTCCATCTGTGTGCCTCTTTCCGGCAGCTTGTTCTCATGGTGGCTGGTGCTGTACCAAGGCAGGCGTTGTTCCGAGTTGAAGAACTCGTACAGAGTGTTGTTCTTGCAACGAGGGAGGATAAGCGAACGGTGTGGCAGAGCTGCTTTCGTGAACTTGAACGCTGTGCAGTACCTCGCAAGCTTCTGCCCGTCAGCTTGGCAGCGTCGTGGCCCAGAACAGACTACATCAGCTACAACCGGCCTGTTCAGGCCTCTCTGCATGCATCTGCTTTTGAAATGATAGCCCCACCTGCAGAGACTGGCACAGTTGCCTTGCGATGTAACTTCCAAAACACCACGCATGAATGTCTCACGATCACCCGTGCTGGAGATAGCCCTTTCGGATTTCCACCAAACTTGATACGCACCTCTCAACCTCCATGCTTTTCTGCCGAAGGGACGAGGATGTAGATGACCAGTCCCATCTGGGTGTGCTGCATTTGGGCTCTCCAAAGCTGGCCCCCAGAGTCGGACTTCTTTGTCTCCACGAAGACCTCTAACTACTATAAGGGCCGAAGTAATGACGAATACTGTTTGGGGGGTGCGCCTTATTTTAAGTATAGTATAACGGGCCCCATAACCCTATTGAAATCATGAAGGCCCCTATGTCTATGTTAATTACAAACACATTCTTGGCGGCTTCAAGCAATGCAAATTGAACCCTCTCAACCAACCCTGAAAACTTCGCAAATTTCTTCAACCGTTCGTTTCGCAACAGTCCATGGCATCATGGAAGCTCTCACTCACACGCTTTTCAGATTTCAGAATGGCTTTTGATTCCTTGAAATATGCGAAATGCCCGGAGAGCATTGTGGCTCAAGGCGGGATTAGGTTCAGAGTTGGGGGAGATTCGCAAGTCCCTTGCGAGCATTTTGGCATACCTGTTTGTCTCATTTTCTAGTCCCTGTCGAGCGGTTTGCCACCTGTTTGTCAAAATCTCTATTTTCTTTCGAGCGGTTTGCTACCCGTCAGATTCCCCTTTCGAGCGGTTTGCTACCTGTTTGTGAGATTCTCTGGTCCCTTTCGAGCGGTTTGCTACCTGTTGCTCAGATTCTCTACTCCCTTCCGATCGGTTTGCTACCGGTTTGTCAGATTGCCTAATCCCTTTCGGATTCTCTGGTCTTTTCGAGCGGTTTGCTAACTGTTTGTCAGATTCTCTAGTCCCTTTCCAGCGGTTTGCTACCTGCTTGTCAAAGTTGCTAGTCCCTTTTGAGCGGTTTGCTACCTGTTTGTCAGATTCTCTAGTCCCTTCCGATCGGTTTGCTACCTGTCTGTCAAGTTCTCTAGTCCCTTTCGAGCGATTTCTTTCCTGTTCGTCAGATTCTCTGGTCCCTTTCGATCGGTTTGCTACCTGTTTCTCAGATTCTCTAGTCCCTTTCGAGCGGTTTGCTACCTGTTTGTCAGATTCTCTACAGTAAACTCCATAAAGTTGGAAACCGGATAAAGGCCAAATAGCCTGTTTGTCAAATTCTCGAGTCCATCTCGCTCCTTTCGAGAAGTTTGCTACTTGTCAGATTCTCTAGTCCCTTTCGAGCGGTTTGCTACCTGCTTGTCAGATTGTCTAATCCCTTTCGAGTTGCTCCCTGTTGCTAAGATTCTCTATTCCCTTCCGAGGGGTTTGCTACCTGTCTGTCAGATTCTCTGGTTCGTTTCGAGCGGTTTGCTACCTGTTTGTCAGATTCTCTAGTCCTTTTCGAGCGGTTTGCTACCTGTTGCTCAAATGCTCTACTCCCTTCCGATCAGTTTGCTACAGGTTTGTCAGATGCTCTAGTCCCCTTTCGAGCGGTTTGCTACCCGCTTGTCAAGTTTTCTAGTCCGGTTCGAGCGATTCGCTACCTGTTTGTCAGCCTGTTTGTCAGATTCTCGAGTCCAATTCGCTCCTTTCGAGAAGTGTGCTACTTGTCAGTCGGATTCTCTAGTCCCTTTCGAGCGGTATCCTACCTGTTTGTCAGATTCTCTAGTCCTTTCGAGCGGTTTGCTACCTGTTTGTAAAATTCTTTAGCCCCTTGCTAATTCTCTCGCCCCTTTCGAGCGGTTTGCTACCTGTTTGTCAGATTCTCTAGTCCTTTCGAGCGGTTTGCTACCTGTTTGTCAGTATCTGTAGTCCGTTTCGAGCGTTTTGCTACCTGTATGTCAGATTCTCCAGTCGCGTTCGAGCGGTTTGCTACATGTTTGCTACCTGTTTGTCAGAGCAGAACCAAGCGAATGTGATCATCCCTGCACTGCTCGTAACAACATGCCTGAAGCGCTGACAGGCTGCAATCAGGTACCCGAACACCAGTCGGCGGAAGGCAAAGCCAACCGCCAGAATCACAGGAATGAATGGCTGCAAGCCTCGAGCTGACTGGGAGCTCAGCGCTCAGCAAGACTCATCTTCTGTTGAGCGGAGCTTGGGCAAGTGGCTGCATAGGGTCAGACCCAGCACCATGTGCAGCGACCAGCGCGCACTCCGCGCGCCGACGCCGTGAAACGTTTGGTCCTTCCAGCTTTCTGGAGCAAGGCATGCATTTGAACAGTGTGTCTACTTGGGCTCGTGCCGGGCGCATGTTAAACTGCTGTAGCTGCAATACAGTAGGACAGAGTGTACGAGACCTACATCCCCAGCAACACACTTGTGTCGGGAGCCTCAAATGGCAGGCCGGACTGCATTGTTCAAGGCATGCTGTTGGTGTTGAATCTTGATCCGGTCTGCGGACTGCGACATCAGGGGGCTGGAAAGTTGCACTGAGGAATGAAAGGCTATGGACTCCTCTTATAAATCATTCTTGTATGTATGTGTGAGCGTAAATGTTTCGGACCGGGCTCACATGTTCGTTGTGAGTGTCTTGCACAAACGGCTGCATATCTATCTATACGTCACAGAGTCAGGAGCTTGCAGGTCCTCTGGCTCGGAAAGCTCTTTGGCAATTTCCGGAGGCCTCAGACCACAACAGCCTGTTGTACTGCCACCATACTACTACTACTACTACTACTACTACTACTACTACTACTACTACTACTACTACTACTACTACTACTACTACTACTAGGTTACTACTCCTACTCCTACTCCTAGTCCTACTCCTCCTCCTCCTCCTCCTCCTCCTCCTCCTCCTACTACTACTACTACTACTACTCCTGCTGCTGCTACTACTGCTACTAACTGCTACTAACTGCTACTACCACTGCCACTACTTCTACCACTACTACTAAAACTACCACTACTACTTGTCCACCACCACCACGACTACGACGACTACTACTACGACGACGACTACGAATGAGACTACGACGACGACGAGCACTACGACTACGACTGGTACGTCTGCTACGACTACTACCATGACAACTTCGGCTCGATTAAGGCAAGCGACTCACCCGCCTGCAAGGCCTTCCAGAAATAAAGTAGTGGAAAGCCTCAGGAATGCCGTAATGCGCATTGAATATGGAGTGGCAAATGTTGTGACAGACTCCATGTTTTGTCTAAGGCCCGTGCAGCGAACAAGGTCAAAGAAGGGAGTGCTCCACAGAAGAACGGCATACCGGAGGTAGAAATTCGTGGAGTCGGGAAGCTGGTCTGCAAGCAAATACCAGACCTGCACCAGGGGAGGGGCCCATGATTCATTGGGGTCCTTATAACAGGGATCCTACTATTTAGGGCAGTATATTCGGGTCCCCTGTTTTCGGAAACTCCCAGATCATGTGACATTGTCCGTTCCTGCCAAAAGGCTGCAAGGCATGTGCGCCTTCAGCGGTTCTTGTGCCAAGCGCGCTGCCGCTTCGAAGAGTGAGGTGCCAACGGCTGTGACGAGCAGGACGAACACCACCTCGGGCGACAGCATCGCAACGGCCGGAATCCACTCTCGGCATCAAAGAAATTCAAAAGCCGAAAGCCGAAAGCCGAGGGTCGAGGAAGAAGAAGTACCACCGCCTCGCTGGGACATTGAATCATTGCATGCCTTTGGGCTAGAGTTATCAGTTAACAGCGGAGGTAGGTCAGGTCAGCAAACTGCAGGCAAGTATCTGGATCTTGTGCTGGCCTTTTGAACCAGACCGTAGGCGATAAAACCTTGAAAACACCTGCTGCACTTCAGATGCAAATAAACAAGGAAGCTGGCAAGCAGGCAGCAAACCCTTTGCCAGTAAATGCCTACCTAAGAAGGCATGACGCAAATTGAGTTCTTTGCCTCCGAGAGCACCCAGGGCACAAGGTCCATCAGCATGGAGAGGAGGCTTGTGCCCAACCTCGGCGCATTGTTGAAGAGTTCAGGATAGCTCATGTGACTCAGTGACGGTGTGGATGCTAGCAGCGAAGCTGCATGGGATCCACGACAATTGAAAGATTCCGATTGATGGTCAGATCTGAGGTGGCTGCAGAGCTTCCCATGCTGTGGTAATGTACTGGTACTCCCTGGACCACACCTGCACCACGCGGCAAACACGGTCCCGCTCTCTGTGACAGGCTTCTCTGGCAGTCCAGCGCAGTTTGCCAAAAAAACGTAAGCGTCACTGGAGCATAGGTTTCCGGGGGCTCGAACGGATTGCGCAAGCTACAGCCGCCTACCAGCTGCTAGCCGGACGGTGGCACCTCGAGCTTCGGCACCAGGTGTGTCAGGGAATCCACGCTCAGCAAGGACGAAATGCCAATCCTGATGAAGTTCGGCTCGATGACGCTACATCAGCTGCTGCTGAAAGTTTGGCAACCAATGCTGCGCCGCCATGACCAAAACATGACTTGAAGCCAAGAGTCACGACCGGCAGGAAAAAGAAAAACACGCAAGCCACCTCAGTCATCTCCATCCTTCTGTTCCACTTCGCCAAACCATGCCCTCAGCCAAACCGAAAGTAGCCAAGGCACTAGCAAGCGCCCAACGAGCGCACTGCCTTTTTCTACACTGGCCGACGAACGAGTGAATGAGGCGAAGTGCACATCGAAAGGCTCCGGGGCCAAGGAGACCGCGAAGTGGCCGCGACCTGGACCAACGGCCAACGTCTCTTGCAAGGGAAACCCCGGCCCTAAAAGATTCGAGAAGCATCTTTGACATCCACACTTGAAAGCTGTCGACAGATTCGACAATGCTGACTGCAGCCGGCAGACTTTCACTGTATCGCAGACCCCTCGCAAACTCGGCATGGCGGCGATCGCGGAAGGTTACAAAAGCCGCATCGCTCGCGAAGGACTGGCAACCTTCCGGCTGATGACACATGCATTCAACAACGATGCAAGCTGCAAGCCCTGCTGTATCCAATCCTGGGACGAAGGCTGTACACTCTGGTGGCCATCTCCTCCGCTGCAGCCGACGCCCGGTTGTATCGCCTGGAGTCAAACCGGTTTGGACTTTGGCACGCATTGCCGTCGCAATTGCGAGGCGATACAACCGGGTGTGGGGTCCTCTCCAAGGTCTGCAGTCGTCGAGGCGATGGTGCCTTGCAGGACACAACAACATCTTTTCAGGTTCTCCTGGCAGCACTAGCCGCTAGCCTTGAGCCCTAAGCCTTAAACCACAAGCCCTCAACCCCGAACAAAAGTTCTGTCCGAGACAATTGGGGCAAAGCGAGGCTGCAAAGGCACCTCGCGAGCTTCGTGTGAGGCAGCACATTGCAAACCAACCTGGTAATGCTCGGACGATAGCGGACAACAGCCACTGGCATGAAGAACGACATGCAGCAAAATCTTCCAACAAGAGCACCAAGAACAGCTGCGACAGAAACAACACGAAGAATATCAATAGTTATATTGACAACGGCAAAGGGGACCATATCGAGGGCGACGACGAGGACCGCGACCACAATCTCTGCGACAGCGGCAAAGACAGGCACAACAGCAGCAGCAGCAGCAGCAGCAGCAGCAGCACGAAGGCGCAGCAGCAACTCCTGCAGAGCAGCCGTTTTCAATATCTGCCATTACAACAGCTGTTGCTGCTGCTGTAACAGCATGGACTGGAAAATCGAGGAACAATGGCGGCCCGGCAGCCTCGGACTCGTCCCTCCCAGAGAAGCAGGCGAACACTTAAGCCCCACGACAGCATCAGACCGCCAGGGCGGGGCGAGGCAAGTTCTTGAAAGGCGACTGAGCAAGTGCTAGTTTTTACATGCGGGTCGGTTCCCTAGACATGTTGTGACAGATGTGCATCGAGCCTGCGCCAGCTCTTCCGACAGCATGTCTCGCGCCTGACGAGGGGAGGCATCTTACGACATCAACTTTGATGTGCCCAGTCTGAGTTCTCGCATCAGCTGAACATCTACTGTCAGCTGGAGTTGGCCTGCTGCCTTATGGACAGATGATGAGCCGTAGCCGCCTCGATGAGCGGCAGCAGCGAGGACGTGTCCCGCACGAAGACGACGTCCTCGACCACAGGCTGCCCGAAGATCTGATCGAAGAACCTGGCCTCAACCGCCCAGAACTGGCCACAAATACTCGGAGACACCAACTCTGACAAGACCGGGCGGCCATGGCAGCGTCGGTGCGGAGTTGCTCGGGGATGCCTGTCAGAAGATGCTTCTGGGATTGAATGTCACGACCGAAGAAGCTGCCGCCTTCCACCAGCCGTGTGGTGGCTCTTGCCTCTGGCATATTGGAGAGCCAGCCTCGTGTACAACAAAGGATGTTTCTTCATTGCTCTGCCTGTTGTCGTGTTCCTGCTTCTTTATAGTATTGCTCTGATGGAAGTATTCAAAGTATTGCTACCAATATCGTGAACATGGATGTCAATATGAAGACTGGCATTGCTGCAAGAGTCGACACGCTGTGATGTCGACAAGATCCGATCACTCTTCCTCTTGCTGCTGCAGATTCCGAAATCAAAATACTGCACCGCTGAGTACGGAGCGACTCCGTCTGGGCCGGAACTTTCGATGCTGCACGCGGTACACCTCACGCAGAGAGACGATGAGCATTGATGTTACGGCAGCAGCATGCTGAGTGCAGGGCCAGGCAAAGCACAAGCAGCACCACATACCACACGAACGCGGCATGGACCCAAAGTATCCAGGTCTCTGCATCAAGATTGCTCAAACCTCAGAGCAAGTAAAGTACTCATCCGCGGTTGATGTTCAATGCATGTCTCCTTCGTGCTCACTGGTGCTATTAGCATTACTAGTGTTATTTATGGTTATGAGTAGTAGTACTATTTGTCGAGCATGCTTCTGTTTGCGCTTGCTGTTCTTACTAATATTGCTGCTACTTTTAACAATACGACTATCACTATGCGAATAGTCTTACATGTCTTTTGCTATTCCTACTGCTGTTGCTGTTGCCATTACCCCCAATTTACCACAACGATTACAATTACTAGGACTATGACAGTGACTGTGACTACGACTATGATTACGACTATTTCGACATAGTATGGTTAGTACTACAGTATGAGTAATACGATGACTATGACTATTCATATTACTGTTCCTTATACTTTCACTATTACTACTACTATGTAAGCCGTATCCTATGGCTACAGAAAGAGTCACAATTACAACCATTATTGTCTCCATCGTGTGCAATTCTACCCTTACTGTTCTTCTTAATCTGCTATTGGGGTTCCTTATAATAACTGTAGTATAATGGGCCTTGCAACCGTATTCTAATTATTAGAGAATCAATGCTCGAGCGAGACTCCGATCCGGCTGAGGTCGTCGTTCGCGCCGCCGGAGCGCGCGTGCAGGGGCGCCAGCACCATCAGAGCCGGAATGCCGATGCCAAACATCACCTATGGGTTTAAGGCAGTTTAGGATACAGGGTTTTAGGGTACGTATGTGGGTTTAAGGTTTAGGACACCCTGTGCATAGTCTTACCAAGTAGATCTTTCTTCACCTCCCCCAGCTATCCGCCCACGGTAGGAGCCTTCATGCTGAGATGGGTAAACTCCAGCAGCATGATTTGGTCCATTCCAACGTCATCAATGACGTCGTCAAACCTGTGTTGCTCCGGCAGTGTCTGGCGATTCTACGCTTTGCCCCGGGTCGGGCCTGTAGGAGACACTGGTTCGAAGCCACCCGAAGAAGCCGAAAGCTTGAGCCCGCAGCTCGCCCTTTGACCTTGGACACCCCAGGGCCATCTCCACCCGGCCTCCCGATCTTACGAGTAAGGACTTTTCTTTCTGTCTTATGAAGCATGTCCAAGCTTCGCTGACTATGTTCCGCACGAATGGTGCACAAAGCAGCTTCAATACTCAACAAGACGTAGCCGCATTCCAAGATGTTCATGAAAGACGGACTGGGGCAGGCGCGAGGTGCTGCCCTCGTAGACCATCGGATACCGCTGCCGCAAGAAGTAGAAGGCCACACAGCTGCTGATACCGATCAAGGTGCTGGTCAGCATCGCAAAGCCGAAGCTTTCCTAGGTAATCAACACTGGCTAAGCCCATGGAATGTGCAACAGCGCTCCTGGCTTCAATCTGCGAGAGCAGCTCTGAAATCCAAGACTCGGTATCTTGAGATGTGTTCTTCCTGATGACTGCAAATCGGTCGTCGCTGATAGCCGTGACGCTCATGGCCCAAGCACATACCCTATGGCCAGATCAAGGCACGACCTAGTCAGTGCCTTCTTGGAGGCACCGCTGGACTGGTTGAAAATCGCTAAAGACAGCGCCTCATCGCTGCCACGCTTACATTGCGAAGTAGTACCAGACTCACGTCCTTCATGCGTGTCCCTACAGTTGCCTGGCTATGCATGCTCAATGCTCAAGAGCTGGGGCCATGGAAAGGGATTGCGGAGCTTGCCATCCTTTCCCCCGCCCAGAATCCAAACGACCCGAGACGTGCGACACAAATTTACAAATGCATATCTTCTTGCTCGTGCTTCCTAGAGCAGCACTTCACAGGTGTTCATTCGATGGGGAACCGTGACTCAGACAGCGCGCCCCATGCAGCTCCACCAGCCGTCCAATGCAGCTGAAGCTCCGAACCAAGAAGAGCGGGATCAGGCCTCACAGGCTGGGCCGCTTGATTTGGGCTGTTCTCCAAATTAGGGTTCGTTTTAGGGTCCTTTTAGAAGTTTTGGGAGCTGGAAAGGAACCCCCATTTAGAGAACTCCCCATTTCCAGATTGCTGTTACGCGCAGGTTGAGACTAAGGTTTCAGCAGAGAGGGACACACATTCCAGACAGGTCTCCAGGCTCTTACCCGGAATCCCATGCTCTGCATGACAAACCACTGTTCACTGGTTCATGCTGCAGGACACAGCATATGGGAAGAAAGCGGGCTCTTCCATCGTACATATTGTGTTCTTGCATACGTCTGGTATGTTCCCTCGCTGCAATTGATGCTCTGCTCGTCGCTGAACTAAGCACAGACGTATCAAGAGATTTCGGAACAACCTTCTGCAAAGACCCAACTGAAGAATGGAAACCATTCAAATAAATCTTTCCTACTAAAAACCGAAGAAGTCTTACTGAAACTCTATTCTGCTCATTCTTCCCTCGCGGCAAGCAGTGTTTACTGCAAGCCGACATGCTTCAAAGCCACCCATGCCGGTACATCGGATCTTCTGGCGAGGCATGTAAATCAAGCATTGACAAGCGCACGGTTTAGTGGCGATAATACCTGGTTGGTGGTTTCCCTTGGTGTAGGCCGTTTCTAACACACTCGAGTCTTTGCTATGAAGTTCATGCCTCTCTGTTTGGGTAAATGTTCCCACAGATAAGATAAGATGTTTCCAGCAGGGGGCGTCCTGTCACACTGGTGTGCACCCTTGTGGCATGCACTTGTTGTTTTGGCGTGTATGATGCACTAAGTACTGGACGCACATGCGAAAATCCCAGTAGTGGCATAGTCTATAGCCTTCAAATCTACAAATCCACCATGCCTTCAATGCCTCCCCCGTCACACATCCCACGTTCCGGCATCCCAGCGTTTTCCTACCCTAAAGCCTAATCCGAAACCCTACGCCCCAAATCCCAAATCCGAAACCCTACGCCCTAAATCCCAAAGCCACAACCCTGCACCCTGAATCCCAAATCCGAAACCCCAGACTATAAATCCTAAACCCTAAACCCTGAACCCTAAACTATAAACCCTAAACCCTAACTCAAGATGTTTAGACGAAGGAGCTCAGGGCCAAGAAGCTGCCAATCTCCAACTCAGGGATGGCCTGTTCTGGGACCCATGATACATAACACATAGTATACCTAAACGTGCATAAATATAAATCTAAATACATACACACATATATATATATATACACATATATATATATATATACTTATAGTACATATTTAATAACATATAAAGTGACATAGGCATGGTAAGGGTGATTTGGAGACAGAGAAATGAAGCGAGCGGGTGAAAGAGCAAACGAGACGGAGAGGTCCCGGGATGCGGGGATGGACAGACACAGAAATAAGGTCGGGGGAATGGGGAGAAGAACACGAGAAAGAGACTACCGAAGCGAAGATCTGAAGAGACAAACGAGGAAGAAACAACAGCAGCCAACGGCTTTTTCGATAGGGAGCCATAGGCAAGTCTTTTGGCAGCCATGCGCCTCACACAAACTGCATGCCCGTGGGCCCAGGTACAACTACCGTAGAAGAAGCTGGTGTGCTTTGTTCTCACCGATTCAAGATTCTGACCCTGAGTCCCTCGAGCCGCCTCTACCAACTTGGTGATGTGCGCAACGGCCTGGTTCAAGCATGTGTCAAAGGCGTAGCTTTGGGAACGATGCAATGCTGCAGGTATCTTGCGCACGCCAAGACAGCATGTGTGGAAACGGCCGGTGGCTGCATTCTGACCGTCAGACCTGAACAGGTTCGAGCCCAATCCTTCAAGGTAAAATGAGAGCACCAGGGAAACCAACCAGGCGCCGCCTTGAAGAAGAGCCAGTACATTAGACCCCAGAAGCAAGCACCTGTCCATGGAGAGCTCGACCGCTGTGCAGATTATAATAGTGCGAAAAAGTACAAAAACAACGGCAGTAGCTGTAGGAGTAACCGCAGCGCAGTAGTAGTAGTAGTAGTAGTAGTAGTAGTAGTAGTAGTAGCAGTAGCAGTAGCAGTAGTAGTAGTAGTAGTAGTAGCAGTAGTAGCAGTAGTAGTAGGAGTAGTAGCAGTAGTGGTAGCAGCAGTAGCAGTAGTAGCAGTAGTTGCAGCAGCAGCAGTAGCAGTAGCAGTGCAGTGGCAGTGACAGTGGCAGTGGCGCGGCAGCGGCAGTGGCAGCCGCAGTAAGTCGTAGCAGTAGTAGTAGCAGTAGTACTAGCAGTAGTAGCAGCAGCAGCAGCAGTAGTAGTGGTTAGTATGGCAGCACCAGTGGCAGTGGCAGTAGTAGTAGTAGCAGCAGCAGTAGACGTCTTCGTAGTACTAGTACTACTGGTGGTCGTTACTGCTCAGATCACTTTTTACTATTGCCACCACCACCACCAACAACAACAACACCACGACGTTCGCTACTGCTATAACTGCCTGAATGCTAGCTCTACCACCACTGCCACAGCAGCACATCCAGAGACTACCTACTGCTAAATGTCGACGGCTAGAGCATCAGTTGTCGTTCTAAGGTAACGTGCTTTGATCGAAAGGCTTACATTAGATCAGACGGAATCTACACACTACTCGCGGATGCTACTTACTTGCAAACGCCTCCAACGAGTTCGGCGGTGGCGAGCCGGGGCTCGCTGGACGCCTGCATGTCTCGGCGGACATGATCGGTCTAGATTTGAGCGCGCATGTGCTTTTCATAAAACGAAGCCGTTCTACTTCTCATGACTCTTCAAGACCGTTGGAGTACAGATCTAGAAGGCTTGCACGGCCTCTGTTCGTACCCACTGCTTCGATTGGCTCGGGCTTCAGGTTGGTGGTGTATCTTCCACAAGTTATTGGGAAATGGAGTGTCCAATCCTTGAATCCGTTGGTTCTGCCTGCCTCCGCGCTTTGCGCATCCCCAGCTTTCACCAGATGTTTTCGAGCGACGGCTCCATGATGGCTCAGGTTTGGCAAGGCACTGACAAAGCTGGCTCGGCCTTGCAAGTGGCGGTGAGGGTGAGATGCGGAAGCACGTGACTGCCCCAAGAAAGCCAGCGTGCTGAGGTGAGTGCCCCCATGTTGTAGTTGCCGACTGCCTGCGTCGCTCATCTGCTTGGAAGGTTCTGAACGGATTGAGATATCAGCTACCTGCCCGACTGACAGCAACCAATCAAGAGCAAGTTCAGCTGCAATGTGGGTGTGCTGGGTGGGTGTAAGGAAGGGATTCGAAGCAGATGGACGACCAAAAGCCTCATACGAGTATCCGTGTAGTCATCGAATCTAGGAATCTAGGGCCTGCAGAGGGTGTTGGTGTGCTGGCGGAAAACACGCTTGCAGGACGGCGGAGTGTCGACGACCTGAGCGGTGAACCGATGCCCCGCGCCGGCTGAGGCATGTGTTGAAGTTGCGACGGTCTACGGTCTCAACTGACCAAAAGAAAAACTCGTGTTCAGCACAATGTAGGTCGCCTAAGTGTGCACGCGATGCGCAATCCTGAAACTCCAGTTTCTACCGGAATAGAATGCAGTCCCCATGTAGAAGGACCCTTACGTACAGTAGAGACCACATGCAAAAGGGACCGTTCTGAGCAGCTCACAGAAGCAGGCCGAGGCCACCCAGTGCTGCGCGAGAGCGCGGCATGGTTCCAGCGGAGACTCTGAGCCCCCTATGTACCTTATTTGGGGGTCCTTATAATAGGGATCCTACTATTTAGGGTACTGTATTAGGGTCCCCTGTTTTCGGAAACTCCCATATACCGTTTGCTTGGGGCTCATTAGCAGTTAGGCGTTGTTCATTCCCTTTTTGCAGCGGGTCTACACCCTGCCATATTAGGGGTCCAGGCACATGGAGTAGATCTCACTGAAACGGTGAAGTAAACCCACACTGCCAAGACGTGACCCTCCAAAGAGCCATTGGACATAAGCGCTAGTCAGAGATGAGATTCTGAGATGGCTCCATTGCTTGGCCTGCTTACTGGCTGGGGCAGATCGAGATGCTGGCGTCGGTACTTATTCCGGGGTATCAACAGTGGGGCTATATGTATGCGTTGATGTCAGACTGGCTCGATACTCTCCATCCGCAGCTCAGAAGACACATGAACAGCTCCCGCGCACGATCGAGGGCTCAAGCACCACCCTTCTGCGCGGCTTGCTTTGTTTTCCGGTGCGCTAGCACCCAAGAACACACCCAAGTGCAACTGCTGCGAGAGGGACGCCAGCTACTTCAGTATTACTACTGTTTTTACTGTTATTACTGCTATTGTTGCTATTATTATTAGGAATCTATAAAGAACCACGATATAAGCGCCAATGGGGCCGAACAGGGTTCAAAATCCGACACGAGATGGCCCTCTGCGCATTTGGCACTTTGGATGTAATGAGTCCGTGGGCAGGCCGAGTCCCCGAGCGGCTGACACGAATCCAACTTCCTTGGCATCCCAACTTACTCTGTTTCTAGCAAACACAAGTTGACGATGGGCACTGCGGGAACTACCTTGCTAACTCAAAGCCTGTTATTTATGGACATGTGCATGACAGTGACGCTGCAGGCATCCATTTTGGATGTTGCATGTCACTGGCCAGAACGGCTTGCGGCTTGCGGTTACGTACATTGGGCAAAGCAGAAGCATTTTTGCAATCCGCCCGCTACAGCATGATACCTTCATGTACGACAATCTATTACAAATGGTTGCACATGGCAAAGATACATTCCCCTCCGTGTATGGGAAATACTTTCAGCTTGCCCAGGCAAGCTTGAAACTGCCTGTACCGCGACACCTTCAGTCAACAGTGGCGAATTCGAGATGACAGACCTGTGCAAAAAAGGCTGATAAGGTTTTAATGCTGATGAGGCGGTAGATCCGCCACTATTTAAGACCAACCTACAGCTCGCGGCCGTTTTGGCGCGGCGGGAGCAGCTAACCTACCCGCTTCAAAAAGAAGACTCATTGAAAAACCCGATTTCGGATTTTCTTCGGCCAAGGCCCAGTAGTTTGGGCCTGTGGAACTCTGTGATTACATGCACTTCGATGTCCTGCACTCCGACAGGCGCTCCGGCCTAAGTTACAGTTGCTCTGCCCTGCTTTCACAAACCAGCACAGAGCCGCTCTGTTCCTGACAGGGCGTTGGTTGTTTCGAAGGTGTTTGGGTATAGGAAAGCTATAGTCCTAAGAAGGGGCCTTACAAAATGATGGTACTGAATATTCAGGCTTCTATATTGCGGCCTTCATCTTCACAAGCAACTGAACCTTCTTTGACCAATCAGCCGGCAGAAGAAACCACGGACTCATGGTGTATCAGGTGCACAATGCCACAGCAAGGGACATGTAACTCGCAGGCAGTGTCAATGATACCATGTCTGATAAGACACAACTAGGGGCAGCCATACATACAGCTACTGTGCGATTCACTGAATGCAATGGTACGTTCTGGTAGATCTCTCGCAACAATTGACCATGAAGTACAAAGTCACATTACATGCGATGTGCTGCTCATACTGAATCAAGAAAACGAGTATGTCGTCTGAGGCATCTCATCGTCATCAGCGTCGTTGTCATTCCTCGTCAATATAGAAATCCACACCATCATCGTCATAATCGGCGTGAGAAGAGTATGATGCCTGAAACAGAGAACCATGCCACTAGCGATTCCAGCGAAATGGGAGTTTCCGAAAATAAGGGACTCTAATATAGTACCCTAAATAGTAGGATCCTTATTACAAGGACCCCAAAACAAGGTACCCCTAATTCTCGGAAACTCCCCAATCACTCCTCAGCCCAACGGCCCCCCGACCTGGGGCCCACGTGGGACGATGACGTGGTTCACGTGAGTGACCCCCTCCGAGCTTTGAGTCGGAGCGGGGCTGCCGTCGGCTTCCTGTCTGCCCCAAGTGCAGTATTTCTGTGTACTTTGTTATGCTATACTTTACTATACTGTACTATATATATATATGCATATATATATATATAGATCATGGTACATAATTAGTTGTGTCACTATGAGAAGTATATGAGAATATGTAGTATGACCGGGACTAGTGTTCGCAGGCGCAAGTAAATTTCGACGATTATGGCTAGCGACGTGCCTATGCTTGGTGCAACCATGGTTAAGAGTTGAAGACAACATCGGTAAGCGATTGTAATCTGCAAAACTACAACCTTCAACCACTAGAACCGCTAGAACTTCCAGTTTCTTGCTCCTGGTGCAACTATGCTCGCTGCTGCTGTGACAACTGACGATTCACGACTACAGTGCGAATGTTCATGTCCTCAGTCTTGTCTTGTTAGCGGCGCACATTCCTGCAGCAGCTGCATCTGTTGTAATTTTGCTGCTCTCTTTGCGGCCCACTGCAAACACTAGCGCATGTGCTGGCTCGATTATTACTGCAACTGTTATTGCGGTATGTAGGTGTATGTATGCACAGGTGTGCGCCCGTGGATGTGTGTGTGTGTGTGTGTGTGTGGTTGGTGTGTGTGTGTGTGTGTGTGTGTTTGTGTGTGTGTGTGTGTCAATGTAGTCTTCCATGGGACTCCTCATGGCTGCCGCTTGTTCCGTGATCCTTTTTCCTGTTAGAACAGTAGCTGTTAGTACCAGAGGTGCCATCCTTCCTGGCACCGTGGCGCTACTTCCATTAGTGTTGCCAGCGCCACTACCTCCACCACCACCAGGACGGCCATGCTAACAAACTTTTCATCACTACAGTTACTCCCCACTCACCCGTCAGCATCCATGTACTGTTTACTACTTACACTAGGTAGTTTGTACTTACTAGTGTACGATTGCTGCTACTACTAGTACTGCATTCTTCTGCTAGTTGCTACGGCTACTGCGACGACGACTACTAACTACTACTAGCAATGAAAATCAAACTAGCAATGCTGCTGCTGCTCCTACTCCTACTCCTACTCCTACTCCTACTCCTACTCCTACTCCTACTCCTACTCCTACTCCTACTCCTCCTCCTCCTACTCCTACTACTACTACTACTACTGCTACCACCACCTACTAACTACTTGAGAAGAGGGCCACGAAAGCTAGGGGAGAGGAAGCGTAGCTGCGAGCAATTGGGGCTGAGTAAGGCGGGGGACACATGTGACATGAGAGTACTGTCGAACACGAGGCCGAGGCGACAAGGTATGTTCGGTTCAGTTTCATGGAGTGTCAGCTGGCTGAAAGATACTTTGGATTTTCAATCCCAAATTCTGTAACCCTAAGACGTAATATTAGAAGCCAACAGGCCAGATTCTGTTAGAAGGTGCTGCCGCCATGCTGTAACGGGAACCACCGGGTTGGCGTTGCGATCTGGAGGTTTGTGCTGGTTACAAGTTTCTGTTACGGTTGGAGTGCAAGTTGATTTGTAGTGAAGGTGCTAATAGCCGACCATGTCTGCGGGGCAAACGGAGGGATCCCTGGGGCTTCATGAGTTCGCGAATCTCTGGAGGCTTTTCGAGCAGGTCGCTGGCACAGCAGAGGATCCACGCCGAAAGCTGTCCTGGCAACAACTGCCAGTCAGGCACCGGCACCCCTTTTGGCGCGGTGCCAGAGGTTGCCGCTGACGCTCCAGCGGCGCTGCGACTCTCGGCGGCTCGGCCAGGTGCCTTCTCGTTGCCAGAATGTGCGCATGTGCTGGACTTTTCGATTCACTGTTGATGCGCTGCTGGTATTGCCTGCCAGGCCCAGGCCGCCAGTTTGGCCGGATCTCTGAGGAGGCGTGGGCGGCAGCGGGAAGTTGAGATCGTGCAGGGCTCTGCGGATCTGCACGGAACGCGTGCATTTCCGTAACCAGCGCGGCAGCAAGCGGTAGAAGACAAGGGAGAAGCGCTCGCCCAGAAAATTATCAACCGCGTGGGCTTTCCGGCCGTTGATGATAGTGAACTTCTTCTTCGTGCACATCCGCGCGGCTTGCTCAGGACGTCGCGCTAAGGTCTGCAGGGGTGTTCTGGGCGCATCGTTCGGCCACGTGCGTACATGCCCGCCGGTGAAGTTGCCGAGGCTGATGAAGACGGAGTCGCCACTGTTGTTAATGTTTCTGTGCAGGCGAGCGCCGCGGCCACGATGGCCCATGCTCATGGTAATAGAGGTGTAGCCATTACGCAAAAACGCGCGCAAAGGCGGTGATGTAGCATGCTGCTTCAAGTAGCGATTGAGAACCTTGCAGAAGCGAGGGCATGTGTTGGATCAACGGTGGCGCGTATGAGCAGACAGGTTTCCTCAGAAGGCAGCTGGAGGCGAAGCTTCAGAGCGTTCCAGACATACCCAAAGTCCGCAAGAGATAGGGTTTCACTGGCAACGGCTGGAGCGCGACCAAGCAGAAAACACAGAAGCCAGGCGAGGTCACTGCGCTGTTGCAGGTGTAACTGAAAGCGCTTGCCTTTGTACTGGAAGGTGTACACAGCCA